CCCAACTCACCCAACAAAAAAAAAAAAGGCTCCCTGTGCTCGTGCCCTAACCTCTCCTCCAATAATCGGTTTCTCAGCAATCAACTACGTCGGAGTTTTCTCCATCATCGGCAGTGGAAGACGGCGAGGCCACTCTGTGAAATTGAAACGTAATACATCTCTCTCTCCCTCTCTCTCTCTCTCACACACACACGCACGCGCGCGCTCGCGCCACTCTGTGAAATTGAAACGTAGTACATCTCTCTCTCTCTCTCTCTCTCACACGCACACACTCACGCACGCGCGCGCGGATAGAACACAGACTCCAGTGGGTTTTAACAGTGTCTAGTTAGTACACTGGCAGTTGGTTGCTCGGCCAGTGAATTGAGTTTGCCTCTAATCTGTCTGACCTAAAATGGGGAAGCTCAGAAAAATATTGCATTCAAATTCATCAATTTTGTTACTGTTGTTGTTTTTTTTTTTTTTCCGGCTTCACAAGCATGCATAAAAACTTAATTTAGCATCCCATGGCTCTTATGTGATTTTCCAAATCTGGGGTTGTGTTGCTCTAATAACACAACAACTTTGCGAACAAGTTAATAATGTAGCTCTGGTGCCCATGAAAAAACTTTCGACACCAATCTTGGGCGAAGGAAAAACACCGGCTATGATTTGGTTTATTTATTTCTTCTATTGGTTTTGTTTAATGTTCCTGTTATATGAATATGAATTCTATAGCTTGGTTTGTGGTTTGTATTACCCGTTTACCCTTTTTCATTCCTTGTTCAAAAGCATTTGAAACAAACAATGGATCTAGAGAAACTAATATTATGCTATTTGTAGTTACATTGGAGTTAAATTCTTTTAAAGTCAAAAGTCGTTGTTGATACCCTTTTTTGAAGAAGAAATAGGGCAGAAACAGCCCAAAGGAGCACAAAAGAAACAAAACAAAGAAGAAATTGATGCCCTTATAACAAAGACAATGACTATTAACAGAATATTTGTTGTTTCATCTGTAGCAATATAGTAGAACTTAGATAGGATACTGTTGTTATTATTTACTTCACCAGGTGATAATTCTGTTGCAAAGACCTGTGCAGGAATTTTCTTGTATGACATACATATCTTCTGAATGAGCTTATTATTTTGTTGCAGCATAAATTTGCCACCATGTCTTGGTGCACGATTGAGTCTGATCCTGGTATGGTTTGCCATTTATGTTTATTCTTTTTGTTCAAATATTCACGGATCCATTTCTCTCTTCGCATAATTTTCTGCAGTGGTTCTGGTTTTTGATTATAGATCTTTTGTTGGCTGTAGCGAGTTTGTCATTTATAATATTGTGAATACTGCAATAAGTATTGCTTGTCAAGATCAAAGGTTTTTTTTTATCCATTTTTACGAGTCATGGTGATAGTACCAAAATGGCATGCATCTAGGACCATGTTCATGTTGCTCCCAACTATTTTTTTCAGTGTATTGGTTTAACTGGCTGCACCTGAGTAACAGGCTGTCAAATTATATACTTCTTCAGTTTTTCTCATTCTGAACGACTAAAGTTAATGGATGGGAATTTTTAAATGGTTTAACATGTTATTTTTTAGCTAGCATAGTTTCAGGACATTATCTATTGGCCCATTACATAGGCCAATTACCCCTATTGGAACAACATATCTCTTTTCACATGCTTGTGAAAGGTAGTTTTCTGGTGTTGTGAACCTTGTCATAGTTGACTGTGCTGTGTAAACAAATTTCTCTCCGTCCCTCTCTATCCTTCCTTCTCTTGATATCCTCATCCTCAATCTCAACTGTAGATGAGGATGGAAAGAAGGGCTAAGTTATAAGCAAATCGACATGTTGACTCATTATCCTAGTACTTTAGTCAACAACTTTGAACTAGCTAGTTTCTTCCAACCATTTTTGGGACTCGTTTCCAATAGAAGTGTGTTCTCATATACCCCAGGGAAGATCCGGAAGGTTGGGGACTGAATTGTCTAATCACATGCAGAGGAAATCTGGTGAGAGGTTTAGACTATTATTTTCCCATATTTTATATGGCCCAGTGACCTTTTGTGCTAACTCTTCTATTGTTTGAACTCGTTTTCTCATTTGCAATGAGGCCACTTACAAGGCTGCTAACTGGACTAGGTTTTACTAAATTATAAGAGTATAGCATTGGTGCTGAGCATGAAAAGCGGAAAAGGGATATCTTGAAACTTGGAATAATCATGGAATTTTGTATGATCATGGTTGGGGTTAATTGTGAATTATCATGTAATACAAGGTTAGAGAGCTGCTGTGTTTATAAAATGTTAATTTTTGAAGTTTTGGTGTCAAGGATATTTGTAAAATTTCAGGTTTCCAGATTTGCATATTAGCCTGATCAATTAGTTTATTTGAAGGTGTCAAGATATATTATTTGGTATATTTGGAGTCTTTGTTAGATATGTAATATTTTAGTTAGTGAAAGTTTTTTAGCTGTTTATCTATTTGATCTTTCTATTTGGGTGGTGAAGAAGATGCATTTTGTGGAATATTGTAAAGCTTTAGAAGTTCTTTTTAATGCAATTGTGTAGCCTTATCTAGAGGGTGATTACTAAGGAAACATAGGTGGAATTCTTAGGGCTACCTCTCCTATTTCATCTTCACAGATCAGATACTGCTTTTGGATTACTATTTGTAGCAATGTTTTAAAATCCAGGCTAGTGATCAAACCTGTAAGGTTATTTTGTCACGGTTCAACCGCTGGTCAAACCGGTTGATAATAAAAAGTATTTAAAAATTCAATAAGTTGAATATAACTAAACAGTATATTTTTCTTTAAATTTTGTATGGTACTCAAGGCTATAGATGGTATGGCAACATTAATATATTTTTTATTATTATTTGCTCATTTCAAAATTAAAATTATATATATAAAATTTAATTAAAAATTTTAAGAAATTATGTTTTTTGACAATCTAATTTTTACTATTTTTATATTCTTTTTAATTTTTAATTTTTTTGAATATTTAAATTAAATGAAACGTATTGTAAAAAATTATTAAAATATTTTTCTAAAATGTATTAAAAAATTTTTTGTAAATTTTTTATACACTTGTATATAATTTTTTAACATAATTAAATTAAATAAAAATTAATTTTTTAAAACTATATATATATAAATATATATAGAGAGAGAGAGAGAGTGGGGGGGTTGAAAATTTTGAACCAACCTGGGGGGGGGGGGTGAGAGAGAGGTGGGGAGCAGTTTTATTTTAACTGGTTATAAAAAACTGGTAAAAAAACCTGGCCGGTTTTGCCGGCTTTGACGGTCTAATTTTATTTCCAGTTTTAGGTATCATCCTGACAGTTTATTAGGCTGCTTCACGATTGAATTGGTTGAACTGGCTGGTTTGGTCCAGGTTTTAAAACACTGATTTGTAGTGCCATTAAAGTGCCCAAAAAGGGAGCCTCTTATCCTCTCTTGTCTGTTTTCTTCTCTTGATTAACTGTTTACAGCCTAAAAACTGTTTCAAAATGGCTGCTTTCTCTTCTTTTCATATCTTAAACCTCTCTCTTTGGACTTCTGTTTTAAAACCCTAGCCTGCTTTACATAAAACAATGATTAGATCTTTCCATGCATCAATATTGGAAAACCATACAGAGGAAATTATTACCCAATGCGTACCCATTCAGCACAATTTTGATAAGTTCAAGATGCAACAGAAATCCTAGTGTCCGAATAATCTCATCGTTACTGAACATTATGGAGTGAGTAACTTGTATGCTCTTCGATCACAGGATGGTTCAAGATTATTCATTAGTGTCAAATGGATGTAAATATTGAGAGGATTCACTTCCACAGATGGTATGTCTTTTAGATGGATGGGGATCAAAATGAAGCTATTGCATGTTGTTAAAAATCCTATGATAGCTTCTTTATTCTTTTTTTTTTTTTTTTTTTTCCTTTCTTATGACCTTATAAATGTCATGTTTTTTACATGATGTTTGGTATGAGATTGTGGTCTGCAGGCTTAAAGCAAGGAGCATGGAAAGCTACCTTGCCTTATCTTTCTTTTCTTGTCCTCACTTCTTGCTGCCTTCATTTCTGTGGATGTATGTGATACTAGATTATAACCCCCATGAATGTACACTATAATTGAGAATCTTTTGAAAAAAAACTTGCACTTTGTTTTATTTATGTATTTTCCCAATTCCATCAGACTCTGCACAAAGTGGACAGCATATTGCTTTGTGCTAGTAAATATTCTCTCACACAGGCCAGCATAGGTTTAGAAAATGCAGCTGTGCTTATGTAACTTGAAAATTTAAATGCAAGACAGTGAGGCACCAAAAGTGTATGGTCCGCAATGGGTTGCAGAACTCAATCCTAGTTAAGACAGAGTGGATTGTATTTTTCTATTATGCCAAGTCATAATAATAATAAGGAAAAAAAAGCTTTCATTACTTGTTTGGTTCTTACTACTTAATAGTCCCGACTCCTATCAATATATAGTCCACAATATGAGCTAGAAATCTGCTCTTTCATTTAACGATTCTATTGTTCCATTAGGTCTTTTTCATTGGCATTTAATTGTTGTAATGATCATCGTTGTTTAGGTTGAAACTATTTGTTTGCCTTGCAGGTGTTTTTACTGAACTTATACAACAGATGCAAGTAAAAGGCGTGCAGGTAACGTGATTGCATGATTTGTTTGCTACTATGCCTTCTGTATGTCACTGTTCTGCTATTTCAATGAATGTTGTTATGGGTGGTTCTGTTGGATGAGGAATATCTCATTGCAACTACTCAAATTTGGTGCTCTTGAACACTGGAATTGTGTACCCAACCATTCTCATTCATAATGATTAATAATCTCGTCATCAATATTAATCAGTGACTAATGCACCTTTCACCTTTTTTATTACGGATTGTGGAAAGTGGCACTTCTGATAAGATTATTTGTGTATTCTTATAGACAATGATGATAGTTTCACAGTTTGGTTCATTATCATTCCTTGTAGCTGCTCAAATAATTAATATTGCAAAGCAAAAAGCATCTAAGCCAAGTTTTTTTCATATAAAAAATTTTATTGCTATGCTTGATTGATTGTGATCCTCAGAGAATTAAGGATACATAATTAAAACCTGCAGGAGTGTGAGACTTGTTTTTGTAGAAAACTTGAAATGATTACGTGTGATGTGATATGTTTTGTTAATCTTTTTCAACATGAAGTTGTGCTGGCTGGGGATACTAACTATGTTTTAGTGGCTGTGAAGCACATATTCTACTATGACTTATAATAAAGAGAAAATTGTTGGAGTTTCTAAAAAATTGTTGGAGCCTGATATTGTGTGTTTAATGCTAACATCAAATAATGCCAATGTTTTTATACCCATTCTTTGTCATGTTAAAAGTTAAGTGGTATACAAGTAGGCAATTGTTAGGTATGCTTTATTGCATTCAATTTTACGTATTTGATTTTGTTCACAATCAGAGTGCAACTATGAAACATTTCTAGTGAATGTAATGGTTGGGGCAAGACTTAATTTGATTGGTCATTCTATATACATGATGGGGAAATTGATGTTGTAGAGGGAAAAAAATGTTAAGATCTACCTATTTTCCTAACTAATTCTCTTGTTTCTCGACTTTCCAAATAAAATAAACAAAGGTATAATGCTTGTATGTATGGTTATCAAAAAAAAGCGTACGCTTTTACGCTTTTACTCATACCAAACATTTCCGATTATACTTAAAATCTTTTGAGTAAAATCTTGTGAAAACTTACTTAAAAGAGGTAAAAGCTGTAAACTTGCACTTTTACTAGCCACTTTTAATCTTAAGTTCATAATTTGTCATTTGCTGGCCGCTTTCATCCAATAAACTATTCTAGTCTCTATTTCGTGCAAGTAACTTGGTTGTTTTAATTTAATTCCTTATTATTTTTTTTTTGTCTTGTATTCATGTCAACTTTATAGTTGAATATTTATGATTTGGTTATTTTAGTTTGAGCTGTTATTATTATTTATTGTTCATGTTATATCATTTATGTCTATATTCTGTAAAATTATATATAATTTTACAGAATATAGACATAACTGATATAACATAAATAATTACTTAATACTTTTTATGTGTATGAAGTAAAATCTTCGTTTTTACGCTTCGCTTTTACGTTTTCGCCTTTTATAGAGTCCAAACGCTTTTGAGTAAAAATTTGCTTTTGATCCAAATCTATATTTTTGTGTGGCATATTGATGGACCTAGTTAGCAGTAAAACTGGGGTTGAAATGAAACCTTATTAGTTGGATGTGCACTAGCTGTGTGCTGATTCTAACGTAAAGATCAACCTATCTTATAATAGAATAGACCTGTTTTCCTGTCTCCTCTAGAGATTGATTGGCTCATATGGTATTCTCCATTTGCATGTCCAAGCAGGTTGAGGAGTTGTATTCTTTGGACCTTGACTCTCTGAACAATCTAAGGTAGGTCATAGACATGATTTTGATTTGTACTTCAACTTTGAGCTCATAGACATGATTCTAATTATCCATCTTTATTTTGTTACTACAAATTTACAGGCCAGTATATGGGTTGATATTTCTTTTTAAATGGCGTCCTGGTGAAAAAGATGACCGTGTGGTAATCAAGGATCCAAACCCTAACTTATTTTTTGCCAGCCAGGTAAGTTTCCATAAAAACTAGTTCTGTTTGGCTTTGTATTTTGTTTTCTCTTTTCTGTTTTTTTTTTTTTTTTTTTTCATTTTTGTATTTTCAAATGCAGAAAACACTGAAAATCCCATTGTTTTCATTTTGTTTTCAGTTTCAAGCAAAAATTGTTTCTAAAAATTTCTAAAAACAACTTTTTGTTATTTTCTAAAAGTGGGCCTACTTTCTTAAATTCTCCTAAAACAGTTTTTGGAAATGACCTTCCGTGTGGTTTTCTAATTCCAAAAAGAGAACAATGTTTTACAAATGCAAAACAAGTGTTAAATTTTGTTATGCCTTTCATTGCTTTTACAGGTCATCAACAATGCATGTGCAACCCAAGCTATCTTGTCTATCCTTATGAACTGTCCAGATGTTGACATTGGCCCAGAATTATCTGCTTTGAGAGAATTTACCAAGAACTTTCCACCTGAACTCAAGGGTTTGGCTATCAATAACAGCGAAGCCATTCGTACTGCCCATAACAGCTTTGCAAGGCCTGAGCCTTTTGTTCCTGAGGAGCAGAAGGCCGCTGGAAAAGATGATGACGTGTACCACTTCATTAGCTACATACCCTTTGATGGGGTACTGTATGAACTTGATGGTTTGAAGGAGGGGCCCATTAGCCTTGGGCAATGTCCAGGCGGGCAAAGTGACATGGAGTGGCTTCAGATGGTCCAGCCCGTGATTCAGGAACGTATTGAAAGGTACTCACTGGTGGAGCAATATACCAGAACAGTGGGGTCAATTATATCTATGCACATAACTGTGGTTATTCATGCTGCATACAAGCCCAAGTGGGTCAATTATGGTCATTGACCCCCACTGGACTTGATTATATTTTATGCATATAAAAGGATTTTTGATAAGCTTGCAAAATGTTCCTACTGAATCCTACGACTTTGACCCTTTCAAGGAAAATATAAAAGATAAGCAAGTGGTTTTCTAGTAAAATAAAATATATTTACCATATAATCATTTTATAAGTTTTAATAATTTGTGAATACTTCAAATTATTTTTATTTATCATTTTTTATTTATGAATGAAGGTCCTTTTTTTTTTGGTTGATAGTTGTTGAATGGTCGCGCTGACAATTTTCTGGATGTGCCAATGTAGGTACTCTAAAAGTGAAATAAGATTCAACCTCATGGCTATAATAAAGAACAGGAAAGAAATGTATACTGCAGAACTAAAAGAGCTACAGAGGAGGAGGGAACGAATTCTGCAGCAGTTAGGTGTGCTACAGTCGGAGAGACTGGTGGACAGTGCCAGTGTGGATGCACTTAATAAACAGCTTTTAGAAGTGAATTCAGGGATCGAGGGTGCTACAGAGAAAATTCTGATGGAGGAGGAGAAATTTAAGAAGTGGAGAACAGAGAATATCCGGAGGAAGCATAATTACATACCCTTCTTGTTTAACTTCCTCAAAATTCTTGCTGAAAAGAAGCAGCTGAGACCCCTTGTTGAGAAGGCCAAGCAGAAACAAGCAGCCCTGGGTAAATAGAGTTCTGCCATCAAGATATCTTATGTTTTGGAACTAAGGAACTTATTAGCCTTGGATCGTTGCCCAAAAGCTTTTCTATAATCATCATAACTTTCTTCGTCTCTCTAAATTTACTGAATTTGTAATTTACATTGACCCTTTTCTGCTTTACTGTGATCGGTTGCATTATAACTCAATGTAATATTTCATGCTCATAGAGGGTTAATTTATCTCCCCCTTCTTTTCACTATTACGAGGTTAAGACTGAATAATGTTGACGCTTAGCAGATTATCAAGTCTCAAACATCGACCTCTCGTTGAGTCTGCCGGAAAGTGGTGGTCCTGGAATTTTTAGTATTGGCTCCGAGCAGAGGCAGACGTGGAAATTCGTTTTCTTTTTGCAAATTGGACTAAAGAGAGCACTCCGGTGTACGAAGAGATCTCTTGGTTTCGAATCCTTGGACATTTGAATAAATAATATTTATTCATGTGAAAAATAAAAAATTATATAATAACATTTTTGGCTAAAAGGAAATATACACATTATCTTTTGATATAATGAAAATTTTTAAATAGATCTTTGTTTTTGGTCGCTGATTTACAAATTTGAGGTTTAAATTCAAGGCAATATTTCATTCAAATTTATAACTTGCTGGGATGTGTTTGTTTTATATGAACACTCTATTGTTGGGATTATTATTGCATTTTGCATTCAAGTCCCTAAAATATTTTGATTTTTCATTAAAATCTTTGATAACATATTTTTACTTTGTTTACGTAAACTAATTTTATTGATTCTGTCACGATTCAAAAATTGGATTTTTGATTGATACTAATATTAGAATAAATTTCAATCCCGCAAATTTAACGGAAAACTCGGAATCAATTAAACTAAAATCTGATATGAAAATGAAACAAAATTTAATTTAAATTATAACAAAACTATCAACATATCTGCAAAAAAACCTGTAAGTAGTCAAATAGAGTTTCCAAGAGCCTGATAAAAAACCAAATAACTAACTTATTCAATCTAAAAGAAAATGATAGCAAAAATAAGAGACTCCTCTTAAGTAGTAGAACCCGTCGAACTAATAAACTCTAAATTTGGAAAAATATAAAAGGTGAGTGTATAGACTTAGTAAATAATAATATATATTTATGAGAATAAGAGACAGGTATACAAATACAACAGATAAGTTATAGAAAACAGAATTTAATAAAACATTTATAATTCAGGGAGTTCGTAATCTAGAATATAACAAATATTAGAAATCGGATCAGTGACACGAAATATGTTGAAAAATAGAACGGTGATACTTAGTCTGCCAAAAATCAGAACAACAACACCTTAGTTTACCTGTATACAGATGTGCAAGTTAGGATACTTAGTCTAACACTTATTATTGTTAGTTATTATAGTGTTTTAAAATTTGAAATTCTCTTAAAAACAACTTTTCAAAAATAATAAAATAATTTAACAGAATTTTTCATTTACAAATATAACAGAATCAAACGTAAATAATAAATAATTTTTCCAAAACAGTTTTAGAAATCACATATATATATCCCTTATTATGTTTTTATTATAATAGAATTTACTTCAATTTTTTAGAAATAAGATATATAATAAAAAATCAAAATTTATAACAGATATGGAAAGCAAGTAAGTGTTCACAATGCACATTATTACTCAATTAAATCGACGAAAATCAAGAAATTTGATTTTCGTTGACACAAATTGGATGAGAACTCTCTGAATAATTTAAAATTATAAAAATAATAAAATGTCTCATTTTAGGTTTCTAATACATTTAAGAATCAAGTAGATATGATTTCCTAATTAAGAACTCAAGTAGAATTCTAGATTTTCATGCCCAAACTCGTATTAAGAGTACTAAAGTCCCGAATTGGCTTAATAACTATGAACCGAGTAGCATAGTCTTGAATTAGTCTCATAAAACGTAAAACTAGTTTGTTAAACCTTAAAACTACCAAATAAAGTGCTAAACTGGTCATGAACCGACCACTAGAAGGCTGAATTAGCCATTAACAAACCATTAGATCACTAAAACGGTCATAAACCAGCCTCTAATGCACTGAATTGGTTCTAAACTGGCCTGAAAAATATTGAACCGGCCTTATAACTCATTGAATCAGTTGTTTATACATTGATTTGGCCCTGTTTATGCATAGAACCAGCCTGAAATCCCCTAAATCGAGCCTAAAACACACTAAACCAATAATTAAAGACCCTAATCCAACGGTTTAGGGTGTAAACCGACTGCAATCCTAAACCAGCATTAAATCGATTGGTTTAATTGTTAAACTAGCTTATTTTGCCTTGAACTATAAGTGAACCGGTGGTAATTCCTTTGAACCAGCTAGTTTTTTTATTTATTTCTTATTCATTTCTTTAACTTATTTATTTTTTTGATCTAGATCCAAGATTTGGATTCACTTCTAAAGCCCAAACCTGACTTTGAACTTAGTCCAGCCCAGAGTAGAAGCCTGAATCCTTTTTATTTTCTAGCCCAACCCTTTTCTGGACATGGCCTAAAACAAAGGCCCAAAACCTTTAGCCAGACCTGCTCCAGTTCATCTGCAGACCTAGATCCTTCATGGGTTTCTTCTTCCTAACCCGAATAGCCCTAAAAGCTAGAAATCTGTGCACCTAACCTCAGATGGCTCGATTTGAAGATTGCTTTCTAACGGTTGAGGGTGTGACCTTGGTTTATCTGTCCTTGTCTTAGTAATTGCCATGGAATGTAATGATTCTTCAAGAAACCTAGTCTAGGTTCAATCGCCAATGGTAAACTTCTCCAGGAAAATCGTTCATAGAAAGAGTGAAACTTTAGGAATTAGCTTAGGTTTCTGTATTAGGAATTTTGTCTCGTGTATATATATGTCCAATTGAAGGTGAAATCACTCAATTGAATCAAAATCAAGATTTTTGGGTCCAGTTTTTGTGATCCTTGCAATTTAGTCGCCAAATTCTTGATTCTTTTCAATTCAATCCCTACCTTTTCCTATCATTTCTATTCAAACCCTATGTAGTTTTAATTGGTTCAATTAAGCTCCTCATTGTTTTAATTTGATTTTTGAACTCCTATCTCTTTCAACTAAACCTTTTTTAAATTTCGAAATTCTAAATTTACTTCAAATTTTTGAGGTATCACTGATTCAAATAAACAGAGGTTTTAAAACCCAAAATATGTCCAAGGCGCGGTGAAATTCTCCCTACAAATAACTAATCATTACAGTTGACATGGGAAGGCGACACATGTCATCACCTACAAATAGAAATTCATTATTTGGCAGAACATGCTAGGAAAAAGCTTAGGAAAAGCCCTTCTGGGTCAAAGTGGGTTTCTAACAGTCTGGGTTTTCAATTTTCAGTTATTCAGCATAGGTAACACTTGCACATTAAGGAGACGTTCGGATAGGAGGATAGGATATAGGGTGATAAGATAAAACTGGATAAATTTATCTAAATTGAATAGTTTTATCACATGTTTAGTTCAATAGATAATAAATTGAATAAAATTTTCGAAAAGTATGATAAAATTTTAAATTTACCAAAAAGCCCTTTCTTATATGGTAAAAAAAAAAAACCCAGATCCAGTCAGCCCACCAGATCAGATCGCACGACAGAGCCCGTCAGATCAGATCTAGCCGCACCGACTACCTCTGCGATTTGGGCTCCGCGATTGTGATTGCGAGTGGGCGATTGAGAGTTTGTGTCGTCGTCGGCCCTTCCTCCCTCTGTGTCGTCGACGTCGTCAGCCCTTCCTCCCTTTGTGCCCAACACTGCAACCGACGACCCTTCCTTCCTCTGCAGCCTAATTATTCCTTTTGCACCCAACACTGCAGCCCGCGACCCTTTCTTCCTCTACAAACTGGTTCACGACACAAAGGAGGAGAACGCGAGGGGTATTAATGTCCAAAATCAAACGCTTATCAGGGGATAAATTTTATCCTCACAAACCATTGGATAACATCTCCCTCCCACATAGATACATATCCTTATCAGTCTCTTATCCGGCGTTGTTACATGTCAACTGAACGAACGCCTCCTAAGAAGTGCAATAAGATCTATCAGCCCTAAGGATTAATTAGGGATGTTGTGAGAGACCAGCTTGAATTTTCTCTGGTTGTAGTGAGAATAGAAGAACTTCTTTGCTCTAAAACTATATATTTATATCATAGATACAAGGAGGGTTTTAAGAGTCTTTAGTTTGTATTTTTCCTCTTTCCTATTCTCAGTTTTGATTATGTTTTTAAATGTTAAATGATACTGAAAATTTTGGTAACTCAATTTTTTTCTATTTTTAAAAATTTTTGAAAATAAATTTTCGTTCTTTTTTACTTTTTTGATGGGAAATTTGGAAGTTTTTGAAAAACAGAATCTTTTATGTATTCTCCCAAAAACAGTTTTCAAAAGTAACTTGTCGAATCGGTTTTTATTTCCAAAACCTGGCCTGAAATTTTTCAAAAGAAGACAGGTTCTTTGTTGTAATTAGTGACGCAGGCGCTCAATTGATGGCAAAAGGGAAACGGTTAATGAAATTGTTTGGTTTCAAAAAATATCCTGTCTCTATTTTTTAAAAGTAATTTTTATTTTCAGATTTTAAATTTTAAAAAATATGTTTGGTTTGGTTTTAATGTTTCAGAAAATGGTTTCGTATGTATTCTCTGGGTGTAAAATTTTTTGAAAAAAATACTGAAGACAACTTTTCATAGTTTTTAATTTTCACTTTATTTTTTCAGAAAATATTTTAATAAAAATATAAAACATTCAAAGTAAACATATTTTTAATTTTATTTTAAACTTTTTAAAACAAAAATAGAAAAGGTGAAAATCAAACAGCCCATTACATGCAGTTTGTTCGCTCTTTGTAACCTACTTTGGGGGTGGACTAAGCCCAGTCCCACCGATTCTTTCGAGTCTCCGTTCTCTTATGGGAGTTTACCTGGAGTAATAAAATGATAAATTGATTTTAAAAATTTATAATATATTTTTATAATTCTAGATAATTATACAAAAAAACTTACTCATTTTACACAAAATTCAAATAATTTTCTCAACTCACTTTTTCTTTCGTACTCATTTTCTTTTAATGGAGACATTAAAAATGCATACCGCGGAATGTACTAAATTAGAAAAACAGAGATTAAGAATACAGAGGAGACGAATATAAAAGTACGCAAATCTCTTCAAATACCAGAAAAGAAAAGAGACGATGAAGATAACGTGAATCTCTTCAGATGCCAGAGAAGAGACGTTGAGGCTGTTTGTGTGTGGGAGAGTTATTTTTCAGTAATTTTTGTTTATAATTAAAAATAATTTTATTTATTTGTATTTATTATTTTTATGTTATTTTTTTTAAAAAAATTTAAGCTAAAAGAGATCAGAAGTAAAAACATTTAGACCTCTATTTTTTGTAACTAATAATATAATTTTAAATGATTTAAATTTATGTTAGACAAATATATGCACAACATTTTAATTATAGCATCAGTTTACCCTTAATTAAGTCAATAGCAATACTTTTTAGAATTTTACAAATTAATTTAAAATATTTATAATTACAAAAAAATGTTACCTGCCTATTTTAGAGCCACATGGCACTCATATTGAGAACAATTTGATTTTTCAGAAGTTTAGAAAATAAATTTCAACTTTTTTAAAAAAATTAATTTCCCAAACTGCAAAACATGATTCATGAAAATCAAAAGACAAAAAGAAAAAGAGGCATTTAATAATATAATAAAATAAAATCCAAATAACCATGGCAAGCTTAAATCCAACGCTCAAAAAACATTATAACTTATTAAATCAATTGGTTATTTATATATTTTAATGTAAAAAATAATTATTATAACTATTTTAGTAAATATTCATTTATCAACTTTTTCTATTTTTAATAGAATTTACAAATATTTTAAACATTTATACTTTGAGCTATTTTTTAATAATTTCTAAAAATTAACACTTCTTTAAAAATAGTAACTTCAGCAAATAGACGCATTGTAAACATTTAATTGTCATTTCTATAACAAATATCTTTACACATTAAAATTTTCTTTCCTAAATAAACAATCAAAATTTAAGTTTTAATGTTAATTTGAGAATCAAGCCCTTTAATTCTCCCCAGGGCTTGAATGCCGATTCCAGTCAAGAATCCTTGAGTTCATTTTTCTTGACACATATAGGTAAGGGCATCCATTTTTTCCCAAGACAGTTTATATCCGTAATTACTGTACTACGAGAAAAAAGCAGGATCCTGAACACAATTGCAATGGCTCTTTTGTTACTGCCACATTTGTTTTTTACTGTTGCAGTAAGACTTTAAGCTTGATCAAGAAAAGCACCCTAAAGTCAACTCTCAGAAAACCCTGATTTCAAAGAGCCCAAAGAATAAGCCAAAAAGTGCCGAGGCTTTCTTCCTGAAAAAAGAAGCCTCTTCACCCCCTCCTTAATCCCAACAGCAATGTCCTAAACAAGCCATAACCAAGATTTCCTTAACAATACGTTATTTTTACCATCAAGTCATGTCTGGAACATTCACGAAAGACTAGAAAAAGAAAATTTTTTAAGCCTATTATATACAGCAGGTATCCTACTACCAAGTCAGTGAACCATACTAATGGTTACTATTATACCTCTCATAAAAGGTAAAGTTGCGCCTAGGGCTTAACTGTTTCATAAATGCACAAAACATAAAAGCCTGAGGACAATGTATGCATTTAAAGAAGGTCGCTGAATGTTTCATAAATGCCGAGAACATAAAAGCCTAAGTACAAAATAAGCTTTTAAAGAAGGCTGCTTCAGCATCAGATAGAAGCGTCCTAAACAACCAACATGTTATTCTCAAGTTACTTGTCAACAAAGCAAGAAGAGATAAGTTACAGGTGGCTTTTAAGTTCTCGTTATTAAGCTCAGTCCTCTAAACTGATTTAAAACAGCATTCCACATCAGCATAAGGAGACAAACACCACTCTGGTACACAAGGGAAACTATTTACAAGCATTTTCAGCCTATGCAGTTTTGGAAAACAGTTGCCACTTGTAGCCCAAAAGCATTCTTGTTTTCATCATCATCATCATCATCATCATCTAGTAGCCACCATGTATGAATGCGTTCAAGCGGTCTAACTCGTCCCGATACTCAGCCACCACGGCACGAACCACATCTCCGATAGAGACCATACCTATCATTCCCTATCGTCGATCACAGGAATATGTCTAATGCGGTTATCTGTGAATCAGCAAGCAAAAATTAGATTTCCTTGATTTAAAATTGTGGAAAAACAAAATAGAACATGTCTTCTACCTGTCATCAGCTGCATTGCCTTCAAAACTTTGGTTTTTGGTGTGACTGTGATGAGCTTGTTCTGCAAGTATGAGATTGTAATACAGCATTTGCCCTCATAACTTTACAATTTGCACATGCTTGTATAGATATAAATAGGGACTGGAAGAGGAAGAAAATGAATCTACATAGCAGCAGAGTCAGGGGTGTGGAAAGAGAGAAAATTTTACACCTCTTCAGTCATGATGTCCCCTACTTTAGTTGATTTGGATGATCTTCCCTGCACTATGATCTTCCTCAGATAATCTGAATTAAGTTCATCAGGTTAGACTATAATTAAATCTATAACAATTGCAAGTGCATGCATCAAGTATATACTGCAGGTTTTTGAACAAATATATGCATGTAAGGTTACATGAGTATTTGACACATTACTTCTAGGAATAACTTGGCAACTCACTGAATGGCATTACAGTATAAAACAACTTTTTGTCCAAATCCAACATGATCTATCAATTCATCTTCATTCATTTATGCTAATATTCTACAGCAGCAACCAAACTGATAGAGAAACAGCTACCTTGACCCAAAGTAGAAGCCTACACAACTACAGAATTACAAATAGTTAATATACACCATCAAAATAATGCAATGGATATTTGAGCCGGCGAATGTACTTTTCCTCAGCCTTGTGCCAATAATGCACAGGTATCAATAGGATTATTTGACTAAGCAAAAAGCAAATTTCTCAAAAATGCCATAATTTATTATCAAATATCAATCCCTAACTTTACTGTGGAGTGAACCTTTGTCTCTCAGTCATCAGCTGTGGATTATTACATGTAGGTAAAAGAATTATCAGTTACCCCTTTCTGTGATAATCCCAGCAATTAATTTCTGATCCCCAGGTTTCACCACCACCAGGGCTCCAACATTGTGCTGTGTCATCTGCAAAGGATAAGATGAGATGGATTTGCATTTTACATCAGATATTTGGCATATTAGGAAGAACGTGTTAACAATCTATCATGCACTTAGCTGCGCATTAAAAAATATACAGATATGTCATATTTTTGCATCTATAGCAAAAGGATAGTGAAGGTGGGACTGAGAAGTATCACCATGACATGAGAAAAACATACCGATTTCACAGCATCATAAACACTATCATCTGTTGTACACCACAGCCAGGAGCCATCGGCATTTTTGCCTTTGGTTTTCAAGATGTCTGAGATAGTTGTGCTTTCAAAACCTTGCTCTTCCATGCGAGCTGATGCAAGTGACTCATGGCGGGGGAACAAAAGAGGGCGCATCACAGGATTCACCAGACGGATGTGTTGAAGGACAGTACTCTTCAGGACACTCCCGCGTGACAGCACTTTGTGGATTCCTCCTAGCATTTTACCTGTTTCAAGACACTCTTCATTTACAGTTTAAAACGGCAATAATGCTGTGGCAAAACACCCTAAGATCTACTTCTTGAAACAGAATAAATCACATGAAATTTGCACTCTGTAATTAGGTTACACATAATAATCAGCACCTCAGTGAGGGCTACCGAGCTCTAGAATAAACAGCGGAGAAAATAAACAAAAATTCACAATTATAAGAAATTTTAAATCAGCTAATATCTATTATGGAGGAAAGTTGAAGCGCCATAAGTAATGGGATACAAACCTTGTACAAGTTTGAACATAAAGGTTTTAACTCAAGCAGATATGATTTGTAGAGCGATTTATCTAGATTAATTGAACTATTTGCCTCAGGTTTTGAACCACAGTAATCATGCCTTTGAAACTTCCTATTAAGATACCATCTTTCCAATAAGAATAGATATGAGAAACGCCTTAAGCGAAGAACTCTCGTCTTCTTCTTCCTTCTCTCTCTCCCCCCTCTCTCTCCGCACAGGTCAGTTGCGACGTGTCCATTTATCTGTCTATAACGCCTAGACACCGCTACCGCATATTCACTGCAGCATCCATTCGCTTCAGCAACGCAACAAACACTTCTGAGGGAAGTCGATCAATCGCTCCTCAAACACTCATCACAAAATTTTTATGATTCATCTTAAGTGCAAATTTCTCAATTTCTTTCACACTCCCTGTGCATGCAATTTGCATAAAATTTAATCTACAACTCTTCAAGGAAATTACTTCTCACTACTTAGTACGAAAACCTTTTCAAACACATCCGAAATCGATCAACCGCCAAAACTAATCTTAAGCAGCCGCATCAAAATAACAGAACAAATAATCAAATACTGGATGGTATGTATATATAAATATTACGCCAGACTGATGTCTGTGACCCCGATCTGTCACAGAACGATCAATTTGCCTCTTCCCGCTGCCAGAGCCGAGTACATGCACGAATAGAAACAAGAAAGAATACAAACACGGACTCTTTCTATACATATGTCACACAAGAGCAGTGCACTAGCAAGGAAGGAGAGATGAGAGCTTTACCTGATCTGAGATTCTCAACGGAGTTCACTTTCAGAGCAAAGAGAGGGAGAGAGTGAGTGAGAAAGAAGCTAGGTGGCTCCCTTACCTAGACAGCGGATAAACCAGCCTCCTGCAAGTGCCAAGTTTGCCTTACCAGTTTTCCTTATATAGGGGGGAAAAAAAACTATAAAGAAAAAAATATAATATAAATTAATTATACGACCCGACAAAATTAATTATACAATAAAACAGCGTGCTATTAAAAAATATTTTCAGTGAATTACGTAGAAATATCAATAATTATCTTTTTTCTATTTTATTTTTTTCTTATGGATTTATTTATTTTATGCTAGTCCTTTTTGTATTTTTTTTTCTTTTTATAATATAGGTAATGGGAAGTCGAAGGTGGCTTTAAATGATGGGCTATTCTACTCTGTGTTTTAGGTACACCGTAACTTTCGGAGTACCATGCCCCAGTTAAGACCATACACTCTCAAAAGAAAGAATTTATTTGACGTCATTCTTTCTAAGTGGAGTCATTTTCTTTCAGAAAATATGGTAAGATTTATATCTTATTATATATAAATAAATTTTATTTTATTTAAAAAATAAAAAATATTTTTTAAATATAATATTAAATAAATTAAATCATAATGAATGATTATGCTGTTTTGATATTATTCTAAAGTGTTAATTCAGAAAACTATAAAAGAGTGACAAAATATTTATTTAATATTGGGATAGAAAGAAAATTAATTATAAACTAAAATTACAAAATTATCATATAAACTTATGTATTATTGTAAAATTATAAAATTCAACAGTAATATTATTTTTATTAATTTGTATTTAATAAACAACTGTAATATAATAATTTTAATTCATGTGATAGTGTTGTTATTCTATTAAATTATATAATTTCAATTCAATATTTACTATAAATACCTAATAGGGTTGTAACAGTTCTAATGCATTATGCTCGATTTTTATAATCTTAAAAAAAATATATTCTCTAAGTCCATATCAAGTTGACAAAAATTAGGTAGAATAGGGGAGTAGGTCCTTATGGTGACTTGCACAAGTTTTTATCATTACCATCATCTTCATCATTATGATTGTGACATTTTTTTAATGTATTATAAATTAAATTTTTATAAAGTAAAAATTATTTTTACTTGATTTTTATTAAATGAAAAAATAAAAAAAGCAGACTAAAAAATTGTTACAAACCAAGTAATTTCTTATTTATTTTTTCAAACTAAATAATTTATATAAATGAGGTTGAATTTAGACATATTTAAAGTAGAAGTTATATTCTCGTAATAAATTGTTTTCTTTAGACTGTTTTGATAAAGGAGGTGGCTTATGCTCGAAAATTATTTCAATGAAAATGAAGTTTGCAAATTGGGACAATGGACGGGGGATTCTCTCGAATGCAACCAGAGCAAGTGGGACAAAATCGTCTGTTCTCGTCGGGAAAATCCAACGGCTAATTTGTCGGTTTGATTGGTACGCTGTTTTTGTATGAATATGTTCTGATCACCAAGGAGAGGAGAATTAATTGAGAGGTGAGCTGACGGTGACGTGGCATTTTCTTTTGTTTTTTTGGGTCTGACGTGGCGAGTTCATTTCTCCTGGACTTTGCCGAGGAAGCCAACGGATAAGAGGACCGAAAATGAGAGCAGGGGACCACCACAGCCCACAGACTCTTCATTACTTCCAATTTAATACCTAGTTGGGTCCCGTTTCACATGGAAATGGGCCCACAAAAGTTTTTTTTTTGGGGTTTTCCAAAAACAATTTAAAAAATTTTTCATGTCATTAAACCTCCTTGTGTGAATGTTTAATAATATTTTTTATTAAGTTGTTTATGAATAAAAGTTAAAATTTTAAAATTATAAAAAAATATTTGATTTTTATTTTTAATTTTTAACTCTTTCTATTATTTAATTCAACGAAAAACAAAAAATATATATATTTTGAAAATTTAATAATAATAATTTTTTAAACATATTTTAATTTTTTTTATTTGTTATTCTCCTAACATTAATAGCAAGGAGAATTTACCGTACTCTCCGTAATTAAGGTTTTGAAAATCTGCCTATACGGACCAATGTATATTAACCACGTTGATGGAAAACATGGGTGTATAGTAATTGTCACTATTTTCGTACAAGATATATGAAGAGATCGGAATCTTACCTGTTCCACTCAGTCCATTCATGTCAGAGTCAGACCCCACTCCTCACTTTGGACGAAGCTTTTCATCTCTAAGCTCCACCTAGGACGGTCGGCCTGGCTGGTTTTTTAGCAAGTTTTCGAATTTTTGTTTTCTTATGAAATAAAAAAATAAAATTTTGCAACATTTAATTTGTTTCAATTTTAATTTTCTGTTTGAGTAATTAAAATTTTTAATAGTTATAAAAATAAAACATAAAAGGTAAGTTTTTTTATTTATTTCTCTTTTTATAATGTGTTATATATTTGAATGTTGAGATGAAATTAAAATTAAAAGTTTAGAAAAATTAATAAAATCAGATTTTTAAAAAATCAATTGAGTTTTTATTAGATATCGGACAAAAGTAAAGATTAATCATAATTTTTTTTTGGGTGTATCCTAATAGCACTGTTATTTATTTATTTATTTTTTTTGTTGGGGGGGGGGGGGGGGGGGGGGGGGGAGGTGTGGGGGTGTTACCAATTGACATCATCTTCCTTTTTAAGGGGTTAATTTAAAATTATATTTTATTAAAAAAAGAAGAAGATGGAATTTCCATCCGCGGTGTCATGGTTGGAGCTTACTTGACTGGAGTGGGATGGATTTGTCTCCCCGTTTGAGCTATATACTAGATTCCTATTACTTTCATATTAATTTTATTTTTGAGGAAAATAGTTTATAACTATAGTGACCCGGACTACTCCAAAATAACTAAGTTTAACAACTTGTTGAATCTGAACTACTGACTTAAAATGCTTACGCCCAAATTATTCAGTAATAATTTCTAATCTCTTATAAGTTCAGGATTTCTTCCGTATTTTATTAACGTGAAATTTGTCTAAGAATGTCACACACACTCTCCATTTGGAATGTTACATACACCCCTCTTTAGAACTTAGCGAGAACTCTCCTTTTGAAGTGTCATATATACCCCTATTTGGGACTCCGAGTCTTTGCTGAAGTGTCACATACACTCCCTTTTGGGACTCAACATCTTCGCTAAAATTTGTCCTACCACCGTTCAAAATTGTACGCAGAGTGACTCTGATACCATTTTGTAACAACCCAAGACTATTGGCCCTAACAACTTGTTGAGCCTGAATCATTGACCAAAAATACTTAAAACCAAGTTATTTAATAGTAATCTCTAATCTTTTATAAATTCAAGATATTTCTCGTATTTTATCGATGTGAAATTCACCTAAGAGTATCACACACTCCCCCTTTAAAATGTTACATACACTTCCTTTTTTGAAACTCAGCAAAAACTCTTCTTTTGGAATGCTATAATAAGAATTGTGAAATTAATATCTTTTGCTTTTTAGAGTGGGTATATTCTTGAAAATTATCACAAAATAGTTTTCAGCAAAAGAAAAAAGACACGCCAATCAGACTTTATGTTTCCAAAAACAGAAAACTGTTTGCAAAGCCAAAAATCCGAACGGGAAAAAGAGATCTGTCAAGCAAATCGCGGACCCTGAAGCTATATGATTTAAATTGCCTTCAAAATATTTTCCATCTGCAGTGGCACCTTATACATGCATTTTGCATTTGAAGAAAGCCCTAGTCTAATTGATACATCACTTATGAATTGCTCCACTACAATTATAATGAATTTTTCTAAGATCAAGAGGGGGAAAATAAATAAGATAACCAAGATGCTCGCTCCAAAAAATGTTGCCACTCTGCAATAAGGCACCACACGACCCCGGAAGGGGGTGGGGGTGAAATGGAGGGGGACACAGAAGAAAGGAGACTCGATCCAGTATACATGAGACGATAAGCTTAAATAAACTGAAGGCAGCATAGAAGGTTCTCTTTTATTCTCCCACCGTCAACCCAACCCCAAATTTGTAGTCCTTCTTCCCGTGATCTATCTGCAACAATTAAAATTTCAAGAAATGTTGCTCCTTTCTTGATTTTTTTAACGGTGAATCAACCAAATGACTAACACATCTACTGATCAACTGCAGATCTTACTGAGCTTCTGGGTAGGGAGTGTCAAAATAAGAAACATCTACGAATAAAAAGATTCTTACCTCAGCCGACAGAATAAAATTAAGACCCATATTCAATCTCTCTTCCAAAAAAGCAGCAGTGCAGCCATTGGAGTCAATCTTCCCCCTTAGACGGCACTGTAACAAACATATGGAAAAATTAGAGCAAGAGTAAGCTCCTAAATTATTCTATTATGTAGCGAATCCTAATTCTGGGTGTCCAAATCCAGATCAATGTCATGAGGTAATTCATTTATTCATTTTTTTGGTGGGACTTGGTTTAATTTTAGTTCAATATTAAGGTTGCTCCTTTGTGTCTGATCAAAGAAAAAGGTTGCTTTCCTTGTGAATGGAAGATTGCAGGTTCTAGTAACATAAGCAATCATACATTTGATGACTCTCTCCTACCCCTCATAAAGCAGCGAGACTCATGGCCTAGGAATGCTCTTTATGTAGAACTGCTTGGGAAATCCAGCGCCATGAAGCCTACCTGTGCAATTCATGCTGAATTTTGTTTGTAGAAAGCTTCTGAGGTCAGGGTTCCAAAGGTGAAAGAAGGTTGGTTTCACTTGTGGATTGAGATCGTGGGATTGAGTTACTACTGAAGGGATAAGTAGGAAAAAAAGAGCACGGGATAACAGAGAATTAAGTTGTGTGTCTCATGGAATAGGATAAAAATTAGATGCAATCAATCATATACTTTATCTTGCTTTTGTCTATGCTTGTAACTAGCTTGAGATAAGACAAAAAAAGTGCAGGCTCCACAAGGTTTTGATCTTTAAATGAAAAGTTCCAACCAGGATATTTCAACCATCCCTGATTGACAATCGGAAGAGGCAGCAGTTAGATACAAGAGCAGGGGTGGCTTATAGATAGTACAACACACACCCCAGTAAAAATTTCTAAACAACGAATTGCCTCTAAATAATTATCACAATTGCCCATTGATTTTAGAGGCTGGCCCCCTGAAGTTTTGAAAAACTCACATATTTCACTGATTGGATGGTCCCCATACCGGGGACTACCAATGCCCTTTCATTTCCTTTCACACTCCCCAATTTCCCAATCAAACAAGGGCGTATCACTCATCCAGTTGCACTATTCATGTGCCACCAGACATCTGGCTATTTGTCCTACTTGGACCCAATCAACTATTCTTGGCAATTGGATAACCTGATGAATGATTTACCATTTTATTTTGTTTCACCATGAATCCAAGGTAAAAGCATTCCTAATAGGACAAATGCCATTAATCACATCTTTCCTAATCCCACTACCTCATATCCCAAAAACTGACAACCTATCAGACCACACTCAATCCCTCATACACCCATCACCAATTATCCAATTATTGAGTCAAACTCAACAGTTGCGGATTGCAAACCAAAAATCAGCTAAATTCTAATCTAAAGGGGAAACTGCAACTTAATGGCTAGTATTAGGATTTAGGGTTGATTTGCAAACAATAAACCTAGGGCACTATATAGCAAAACAAGAACAATAACCCAAAGAGAATAAGAAGAAAAGAAAATAAAAATCCTAAGAGCCTGTTTGGTTTGCAAAAATGTTTTCTGTTTTCATTTTCTATTCCTCTTTTCTGAAAATAGTTTTCATTTTTAGATTTTTAAATTTCAGAAAACAAGTTTGGTTTGATTTGCTATTTTCTATTTTCAAAAACTAAAAATAATAAAAATATGTTTGGTTTACTTATTTTCAGAAAATTGAAAATGAGAACTCAATTCAATAAAATCAGAGTTTTAGGGTTCAAGTGAAAAAATCATAAATTTTAGAGTTGGAATCAATGCTTGAAAAGTATAGGGACTCTATTGAATAATGGAAAAGAGATGAAGGGCCAAAATAAAATTTCATAAAATTTCTTAAGATTATTGTACCCTACCTCCAGCCGGGTCACAATCAGGTCTAACAAACCTGATTGCGACCCGACTACAATTACACTGCTAAATCGGCTGTTTTGCAAGAGATTTTCAATGTAATATACCCTTTTTGATCCAAACAACAAGAACCCTAAATCAATTTGAAGAAATTGCAATTTTGAGCCATTGATCGCATACCGTGTTGCTTTGGAACGTGACATTCAATTGTCTGCTCTGAAGGTAGAGAGGGAAAGAAGGGTGCCAGAGAAATGACTATCGGCTGGTGGATGACTGGGTAGGCCGACTGACCAATGGGAAGCCGTCAACTGGTTTACTCATTTTCAATTGGTTTACAGTTTGGAAATCAAAAGTTCATCAGAAATTGGAGGTGCTGGGGCCGGGACGGCGGTTGGGGGGCGGTGCGTAGGGATTGTCAGAGGAGGGCAACCCTGGTAGTCTGGCTTTGGATGCCAGACAGCTTGCTGGTCACCATTCCCGCCATACAGGTTGCAAAGGAAATGAACAGTGGAGTGAAATAAACAACAAAAACAAAGATTCTGGGAATGAATGTAATTACAACTATGCGACTGCGTTTTCACTTTGGGATAGAAAACACTGAAAATTTTTTTTGTTGTTTTCAGTTTTTGGCTTAATTTAGAAAATGTTTCCAAAAATTGAAAATAGAAAACAGCTTGCCAAACATGTTTTCAACATCATTTTCTGTTTTCATTGAACATGAAAACAGAAATTGGACAAAACATACAGGCCCTAAGATTCACAACCTAACTTCCTAAGGAATTACTCTCGGACAACATTATACATGATAGCATCAGATAAAGCAACAGAAACTTTTGTGTCAGAAACTCAGCTCAACAAAAGAAAGAACATATGCAAAAGGACTCTTCATTTGACTAGGACCATGACTTAAAATGAAGGATGCTTCATTCTTTCGCTATCAGAGTATCTAAGATCTAATTAAAATATCAAATATGCATATCAACCGCGTGATATAAATTTCTCCTGCAAAACAACCATGGGTGATTCCTACAATCATTCATGCTCAAACTAACATTAAAAATAACTATAGAAAGGATCAATTGACACTAGTGTAAATATAAAAACACTTACACCAAACCTTACACCATTGATTTGGTCAAAATCAATAGATGATATTAATTAATATTTTGAAAAGAAAGATGACTATAAATTAATATAATGGAAGACAGCTGTAATTAATCCTATCTGCTTAATTTAACCAAACCAGTAGTATAAGATTTGGTGTAAGTGTTTTACACTTGTACAAGTGCCAATTGATCTCTTCTCAAATAACTATATGTTGCAAGTAAAAATTCTAGCTTTGTCCTTTCTTTCTTCCTAGTCAATTATTTCATTCTATCATTCTATGTGTGTAAGGGCAAGCATGGAATCAACAATAAGGTTTCTCCTTTGTTACTAGAAGGTCATGGGTTGAAGTCACAAATATAGGCTCTTTGCAAAATGTAGGGGAATACACTTAATGACCCTTCCCCAACTCTCATAAAGCGGTTTGAAGTATAAACACAAAGAAGATGATATAGACCTCCAAAAGAAAGATAAACACTGTCAAAGAGAAGACCTGATCTTTCAACGGTATCAGAGTTTAACAAATTCGCATTGCTAGCTAGCCTTGCGATCCAGTAGTACTAATGCTGCATCCTCTCATATAAGATCAAGTCTCGCATACCAAATGTAGTTGGCCACAGTTAGGAAGCAACAAACCAAAATTGAGAGTGCTTAAAGATCTTGCATAACCCCTAGATTTTAAGGTTTCAGCATGGAAAACTACCTTTCAGTTACATAAGTCTTTTTTTTTTCTTGGTAACCAGAAGATCAGGATGAAGCTTTTCAGTCTTTCCATCAGATCACTTAATAGCAAGGGGAGAAAAATCTCATGAATGTACAAAAAATTTGAAAATTAATAATAAGAAGCATTAGAAATGCCTACGGGAAACATCCAGTCAACAGATGCACATAAATGTATATAACCATTATGTACTAAATGAGTAAAACAGTAGCTTAAGGCACCTGTCGGAGAATATAATCATAACCAAAGCTTGCTGTGACATCTTTTGACATGTAGTTATACATGAAATCTGATGCCAAAGAAACCTACATGGAAGAAAGAAGTTGGAGAGCTGGCAATTAAAACTAATAAGTAGGAATAATTGAATAATTCAATTGACTTACCTTTTCAGATACTTTTTGAACATAACTCAGGGCAACCATCCCAGTGCTAGCAGCTTGGCCTGTAGCAACCTACAGGGAAAATTTAAGTTGCTAAAAATATGACAGATATTTGCTAAGGCGAAATTCAAGACAACCTATATCTATCCCACAACATTCTAGAGCGTGTAACCACCAAACTTTCATTCTTTCTAGAAGAATAATCCATATCTTAGCAGGCCAAACACATGCTATGACAAACAAATGACAATCGCTGTTTTAGAATTTTTCCTTTGCAAGACATGATATGCCTCTACCATTCAAAAAAATCCAACAACATAAAGACAAGAATAAGAAAGAACATACTGAAAACCAAGGGCAACAAAACTGGTCAACATTACTCCTCAATATTTAAGAAATAATAGATGAACTTAATCATGGATAAGTGATCCCATACACTGTCTCTCAAAACAAATTGGAAGACAAAATTATCATTTGTTCAAGTTCATTGAGAAACAAGAACTGAAAAATGTTTTTTCAGCATTTTAAGCGGTAACTGAGTATATTCACCCATTAATGCGACAAAAATAAAACTAGCTTACAATTATCCATCACCCACGATTCCACATAGGAGACATACAAATTGCAAGATATAAAGTAATATATAATGGCATTCTATGCATGATGTAGTACCATTTTATCTGTGTTATATCGAGCAGCATAACCAATACCAGATTTTCGATGCTGACCAGCCCAGAACACTTCACCACCCAAAGATAAATTTGGAGTCACACTCTACAGGCAAAAAGAAATGGTTAGACCATAATTTTCACTTTTGCGAACAAATTGGGAGAAAACTAAGCAGAGGTCACATGTGATATGTTAAAACTACGAAAGAAGTTTGCAATTGAACAAGGATTTGGAAGAAAATAAAGTCCATCTTAAATGTTGATAGGTGCATTCTACATCTGCCCATGATTTATTAAATGGATCACAAGGAAAATAAACATTATCTTCATTTTTCCTTTTTGTGCATTCTTCTCTTTTCTTTAACTTTAGTGGAGGGCCATGAAAGTTTGAGAAATGAAACACAATGCAGATTTGCCGAAGTTTTTTAATGGGAAAAAGCCTAGCCTAAAAACAAAATAACCCACCACTTGCAAACCAAAAAGTTGTAATCTAGGATTTGAAATAACTTAAACTTGCCTAAAACATAGCTAAAGCATGCAAATGTTAAATTGTTTCCTATATAGGTTTCTCCACATATGCGTGGAATGAATTTATGGTTTTGTCAAAAGAAAAAGAAAAAAAATTAGAACTACTGACAACAACACATGAATAGTGATGGAGGGAGGAAGGGAGGTGTGTATACCTGTATGTAACTAACTCCAAATAAGGCACCATTTCCTAGTTGCAATTGTGTCCTATAGTCTTTGCCCTGTATGAATGGGAGTGGTCCAGATTAGCGAGCATCTTCATGATCAAAGGATTAAAAAAGGCTTCAAAGCAATAACCAAAAAAGAATTCTACTAACAAGTAATATCAACGACATTACAAGAAAAATTTAACATACTAGAGCCTACTCCTAAACATTAAACAGAACATTGTGTTTGGATTTCTCAATTATATTGCTTGTAGGGATAAAAGCAATAAAAACAAATGCGGTGCATCACTGCACATAAAGAAACTAACAAGCAAGAGAAGTTGACCTTGTAGTCAAAATTGACCATGCCATGCGACATATGCGGCTCATTAGTAAGCTGCAAAGAAAAACATAACAGTTACCTTACAGCTTCAGCAAGTACAAAATATCCTGCTACCAAAAGACTTGAATAACAGAGGCAAGGTTACAAAAAATGGTAATTAACAAATTTACTTGAGCATTGGCTTTCAGAGCAAGATTTTCAGATAAGTCACACTTGACTCTTGCATTCAGTCTCCCATCAGTTAATATTCTACCAAAAAGCATCAGCTGTGGACAATAATAAATGCTCATCAAGTAAGACTGATATTCATGATAACTCATTAATTTAAAGGCAACAATATTAAGCACAAACCTTGGGGTCTATGAAGTTCGCACCAAATTCATAGTGAGCAGTTGGGATCTTGATGGTTTCGGCAGACTGAGAAGGAATTTCAGTAAGCCCCATGAACACGCTAATGGCAGTTGAACATCATGAAGACAAGAGAACTAATAAGCATAAGGAGCTGATAAAAGCCACCAAGGAGATGGAGAGACATTGATTAAATAAAAGAGACAATTCAGATCCACCTGTGACTAAGAGAGAATCTCTGGTTTAGTCCTTTAGTAAAATCAAAACGCATCCCCTCAAACAGTTCTGGTTTTAAAGACACTGCAACCCCAAATTTTAAGAGAATCAACGTCCACAAACATGAAGGAAAAACCAACAAATTTCTTCACCAACAGAAAAATTCTCCTACAAAGTCCCATAGCATCACAGTTGTCAAACCACAAATGCACCTACTATGCCTAACAGGTGTTTGCTTAGTTCAACATGGGGGAAAATATACAAAGAGTTCACCCGATGAGAAATGTAGAGTATTTTAACCAGTAAAATGGTGGCAGAAAATTTTCATGAAAACCCAAACAAAGAGTTGTTTCTCTTAGTAGTTGAAATTCTTCAAAAAGGTACTTTTTCTTGATTTTGAAAGCCAAAAACCACAAAAATTTTTGCTTTTTATAACTGTCCGTACAGCATGAAGGGAATCATATTCTCTACCACAATTTCAGACTTTAGCAATTTCATTGCGAATGCCTCGATCCAATCTTTCCCCTTTGACTTCACTCAAAATTCGTGTACATGCCTAGGACATATGCGTGTATAGCCCGTTCATCTTTAACCAAAAACTATATATCATAAAAATGAATCCGAATTTCGAATAGGTCATTTGCACGCGCGGCACAACGTCAAAGCAGATTCATAGTTCCTGAATTATCTTTTGACACAAACCAAGTTACGCGAAGGCATTCTTCTTAACATTTCAATTTCAACCGAAATCCATCAAATACAACAACGGTGAGAAGGAACTAAACACAGTGATACCGAAGCGGTGAATTATATAGTACTAACTGAGGGCTTCACGGTGAATTTCTTCGTAGGGAATAGGACAGGGCAAATTCAAGTAGTCGACTTTCTCCGGCTTTGTCACGGTGGGCGCGGAGTCCGGCGTCGGGGCCGTCGGAGGGACGAGAGCCGCCATTGCTTGCTCCTCTTGCAAGCAGAAAAACAGAGGTTCGAATGCGAACAAAGAGGAGAAGAAATCTCTCTCTCTTCTTCTCCTTCTTTGACTCGGGGAGAGAGACTTAAGAGCGCTCCGCCGAGAGAGCTCTGTGAACAGAAATGAAAAACTGACGTGAGCAAAAACCTTCCCTTCAGAATTCAGTAGCTCTGCCGCTGCCGAGCCAGAGTTAACCCTGCATGCGAAGGGGAAGAGATTTATGACAAAAAATTACTTATTAAACAAATTATTTTGTAGAGGGGAAAAGAAGTAGAATTCTATTTTATTATGCAGTGAGTTTACCGAAATACTTTTGTTGATAAACAATATTTACTGATTTTTTTTATAATTTTTTTTCTTTATTGATGGTTTTTGTGTAGAAGAAATGTGAACTTTTTACTTGTATTTTTTACTGCTTCTTCTTTTTTTCTTTTCTTTTCTTTTGCCCCCCTGATTTTGTAGATAACATGGACACGAGACTTTGGTAAATTTATACATGAAGTATATAAATTAATGTATTTACCGAAACAATGTAAAAATTCAAATAGAATACGACATATTATTGCAATTATTTGGGAAAGCTAAAAATTTTGAAGTATGTACATTAAATTACAGAGTGGCTTTGCCATACATTCTGTAAATAATTAAATAGAAATTAATAATATCCAATTTGTCTAATTTATTTGAAATAATTTTATTTGAATTTTTCTTGCTAACCTCAGTTTTGTGAATGAATGCTGTACAACAAAAATGGTAGCTTGAAAAGAAAATTATTATTTTTCGAGTCAAAAAGAAAAGAAAAACAGAGACAGAGAGACAGAGAGAGGGCACTAAAGCAGAAAAGCTGCAGCATGCTCGGCAAGACTTGATTTGTAGTCAAACAACGATTACCATTAACCCTGGACGAAGATACGAATCAGCAGAAGATAGTCATCGTTCCCAACTCTCTCATCATCGACTCATCGGTATTCCCTTTCCTGGGTCTGCGACACTCACTTACTCGCGCACACATGCTCTTTATGCATAGGAGGCCGCACCAACGATTTCGCAACTTCATATTTCTGCTACTTTTTTGTCTGATTCATGCATTAATCCCATTTTCTTTTCTGGGTTTATGTCCGTTTAAGTGATGAGACGGCGATTTGGGTTGTTCTTGTTCGATGTGAATTTCTTAACAGTGCAAAGCTGTAGAATGTATAATTACCTATGCAATTCTCATTTTTTTGCCGGAATTGTAACTCAAGATTCCAGAGTGCACTGTTGCTTTCTCTGTAATCGTATGCTCGTGCGTAGCGTCTCTTCTTCTCTTTAGCATTCTATTAAGGCGTGTGTATTTTGTATACTTTGTACTCCATATGTAAGTTTGACTGTTCTTTTCATCTTTGTTATTTCTTAGTTATTTGGGGTGGGGGTGGTTGATGGAAGCAGGATTTAAACCAAAAAAAAAAAAAAAAAAAAAACTTAGAACCCTTGTTGATCTGTTTCATGCAGGATAAATCGCAATTACAGTTCTCCCCCATTTTCTCTTATGCTGATTATCCCTCATCATAGAAAACTGGGCGAGTAGGTGCTCTCAAGAGTTATCACAATCTTGCAAAATATGTTATTTCTGTGTACGGCTTCCTGGACTGCATTACAATTTGCAGTGTTTAGTGAAACTAACACTTCGTCCAAAACTTTTTTCATAGACCTGGAAAAGGGTTACACAGGAAAACATTATTGCCAGTTTCCATTTTTTGACACTTTCCTTGTTTTATATATCATGATGAACCATTAATTTGCAACTACAACGTAAAGTCGAATAACCTTGGAAATTCGTAGAGCTCCATTTTTTATTTCTTGGGCTCAAGATCTACGAGAAATTTTTTTTCTTTTGGTGTGTGTGCACGCTTTTTTTGGGGGGGAGGGGGTGATAATTTACTTTGTCAAAATCCAACCTTATTTATGTTTTCATGATTCTGGCTGAAAATAATTTGTTAAAGTACTTATATCAACTAGTTTTACAGGATTGAATAGTTGGAAGGTAGAAAATGAATCGGCTTGCAAACACATTTTCTTTGCTGAAGTTGGATGTCGCTGATGAGGAAGAAGAGATAGCTGCTGCTTCTGTTGATCATAAAGCTACTGATAATGGAAAAGGTTAAGCTGCATTAGAATACTAGCTTATTTTTCTGATTTGTGATGAAAAATTTAAGTCACAGGCATTGCCCTAATAGAAACTTTGATCTGCAATATGAGCTCAAATTGTGATTGCTTCAGGTTTTTGTTTAACCAATTTGATGACAATTCCATGCCAACTACTGTTCCATTTTCTATTTTTGTTTATATATGACCATATTATGCCAATGGAATATCTCCAGTCCATCATGTTTGCAGGTAAAGGTAAGAAGAAAGCTGACAGCTCTGAGGGCACAACTCTCTTGAGGAATGACAATAAGGACTTGAAGAGTGTAGAAACAGTTTCTGGAGAGTATAAGTTGCCTCTTGTGTGGATTGATTTGGAAATGACTGGTAGGTGTTGGTTTTCAGTTATTAAATTAGACCCAGGTCCCTTAGCCTGGACTGGACCAGTGGCAATCAATAACTGATTCAACATCTTTCTTTGTACGTATGCATGCTAATGGAATGAGAATGAAGGGCAGGGTTCATGAAATTGATTCAATACTTACAAGGGAATTACTGAAGTCTTTGTTCTAGCTATGTTCAATGATGTTACTTAGATGGTTATGGAAGACATTTTACATTATTGTTCTCACTAGTGCTGGCTTTTCCCATCTTATTAGCAGTTTAGTGTTTTCATCTGTGTCATTGACAGATGGCAGATAGGTTTATTATAGGAACCATGAACTTAGCACTTGCCTTAATCCTCAGTTTTAGAGAATGGGTTGGAGTCCTTAAGTTTTATTTATTTATTAACCAGCCATTATGTGGTTTCCAATAATATTAATGTCAGATATCTTTAGGTTCCTTTTCCCAGGTTGCTTTCTGTTATCCTTGTGCTCTGTTTCTACATGTTTTTTCCAAGACACCAATAACTCTGTGTGTATATGCTGTCTGATTTTCAGGCGAAAATCAGTGACCTCACACCTTTTGCTGTTCTGGGACTGTCATTTAATTCCTGTTTCTCAAAGTGGAATCTTTCTGTTCAATGCCTTTGCTGTATTTGTTATTTATTTTCAATTTCTCTTCTATGATACTACTTATGTGCACCTCTTATTACACTACCTAATTCTGGGAACTTCCTGTGTCTTTATACCACAATTTTCTTGCAAGAGGGGAAATTTGTTAGGATGGGGCTACATTTTTATGTTTTTGGTAGGCTTCTGGATTCCAACTCTATTAAACTTTAATTGATAAACTCTTTTCTTTGGGTTGGTCTTCATCCTTGTTTAAAAATTGGGTTGCACAAAATAGAAAAAAAGTAAATAAAAAAATAAAGACCTTGAGTACTTCAGTATTCACCATGTGCAGTGTTCATGGTTATGATTCCATAAATTGTGGTATCAAAGCTGTTTTAGTGCTTGTCTGTAGACTTCATATCGTGTAATGAAGGAACGCTGTTTCAGTTTCACAGCCAGCATTGAAGCCTTTAGTCAAATCTAAATGCTTTGAGTTGCTCTAATCTTAAGTGAGACTTAAAAGTAGTTTGAGGTTGAGCTTAGTTATTTTCTTGAATAATCACTAACAAGTACACAAAAATCTTCACTTTCGCTGTTGTTTTATGCCTCCATTTTGATGTTGAACATCTATAAAATTTGTATATAATTCTTTTGTTTTTGTTTACTATGCAGGTCTAAATGTGGAAGTTGATAGAATATTGGAGATTGCTTGTATAATCACAAATGGCAGTTTGACTAAATCAATTGAGGTAATTTCTTACTTTCTTCAAGAATTATCACCCAGGCCCCAAACTGGTGGTGGGCCCTTTTGGTTAATCACATCTCTAACATCTATTTTATTTATCTTTTAAAAGTTTCCTACTTTCATTTTTTTTCATCTTTATTTATTATAGCTATTTATTGCAGTAAAGGGTTAAAAAATTAGTATTTCTTTTGAATGTGGAGTCTTATGTCTTGGTCCTGGATTCGCCATCACTTATTGTGTTTTGTTATAATTTGGTGCATGTTTAACCCAAAAGACAATCTTTTAAGTTATTAATCTTGTCCTGAGAAACGACTTTTATTTTACTTCATTAGGGTCCTGATTTAGTTGTCCATCAGAGCAAGGAGTGTCTGGACAGAATGGGAGAATGGTGTCGGACTCATCATGCTGCAAGTGGTAAGCAGCTTTTACAACTTTTGGGCCTCACTAGTGCTGTGATGTTGATGTTATATTCCATTTATTCTCTATCTTCGGTGTCTTTTACACACAATCAATGCATGTTACCCAGTTCTTGTTGCATTTACAATGATCAGCTGAAGTTTTAACAATTACATTTTAATTCAGGATTGACAGAGAAGGTACTGCAAAGTACAGTCAGTGAATGTCAAGCAGAAAAGCAGGTAACAGCTTTTTAAGGCTCTACTTGTTATTTGCTTCAAAAAGTAGCTCTTTTAAAAGGAGCATATTGGATGTCAGGAAATGGAATTTGGAAGAATTATCATTGGCCAGTGGGTTTTTCTCCCAACAAAAAGCAAAATTCAACAAAGTGGCTAGTCAAACGTGTGGAGCTTTGTTGTTCATTTCTCTTTTTATGCAGGTCCTCATTAGCACAAAATTCATAATATATGCAATGAACTAATATCTTGTACATCTTTATTTTTATTGCAGAAGAATGGGGAGAATGTAATCTTTAGTAGCAAAATTTGGATATCTTTAAGATTTATCTTTTGTGTGATTTTAGGCTCTTTCCTTTTGCAGAATTAGTTAAGGAAAAAACCTCCTGTTTAAACTTCTGCATGCTACATGGTCTTAGTTCTGCCTGGCTGCAGTTGTTCCATAGAGAAAAAGTGGCACTAAGAAAAGATTTCTCTGGTCAGCCTAATAAACAGCACTTGGTTTAAGCCTTCATTTAGAGTGTAGAATAAGTTGATTTTAATCTGGAAGTATCATATTTACAGTTAGCACATTGCCTTTTGAACTCAAAGGCATTCCGACCATGCTTCAAGGACAATTAACTGTTTGACTACTTTGTACTTTTCAAGTGTGCTTTTCCCCTTCAATTATATCTTGTGCTCAGTTTCCATGCTTTTTTTCTTTGAAGCTGATAGTGTTTGGCATGTTTTTCCTTGTTGTAGGTTATTGAATTCGTAAAGAGACATGTAGGCACATATACCCCTCTTCTAGCAGGAAACTCAGTTTATATGGATTTTATTTTTCTAAAGGTACAAGGAATATACTATGTTGTGTATGTGGTTATGCCCACAGGTATCCTTGGTTCATATGCTTCATGATCATTGTGTTGCTTTGATGTGATTATGAAATTTGCGGATGACATAAAATGTTTATATTTTGTTCCTCTGTGGTTTGAAGTTTAAAAATGTTGCATGGACCTCTCATCTAACCCATAGCCTGACCCTGACCACTCTTTCCATGAAGTTTCAGTTTATTAGATCCGATATCCTTTGATTTATTTTTCCTGTTTTGGCTTCCCCCAAGAACCGCAGGGTCATTTTATTTTTTAAAGTGTGGAGAATAGTGGTTGGAAGTATTTTGAGAAAATGTTTTTGTCCTCCACATCACTTTGAAATTTGTTCCATGCCTAGAGACAACTATTTTGCTAATATTAGCGTGTACCCAACCTTGAATTCTTCTCTCTCTCTCTGTGACATGCATGTGTAAAATCTGTCTAAAAGTTGCTCTGGTCGATCCTCAAATTCCCTTCTTGCAGAAGTATATGCCTGATTTGGCCAGCATGTTCTATCATGTACTTGTTGACGTTAGCAGTATCAAAGCTTTATGCATCCGTTGGTACCCAAGAGGTACAATTATCTCAAGCATACTTTGAATTCATTTTAGTTTCTGTTGATTTAGCATGTTTTGTATTCAATGCCATCTTTTATATGCTAGAAAACAAGAAGGCTCCTTCAAAGGAAAACAAGCACAGAGCGATGGATGACATCAAGGAAAGTATAGCAGAACTTAAATACTATAAAGAGAATATATTCAAATCCAAGAATAAGTGATGGCTGGCAATAAGATACTTCAGGGTGTAAGTGATCTCTCATGTTGGCGGATATTTGATCCATATGTTACCCTACAGAATCTATCTGACTTGCCGATGTAAAATGAAACGGAAGGTAGATAATATAATTTCCAATTAGTGAGGAAATAGAATCTGCGATCCACTTCTGCTACATTGTAAGAATACAAAATTAATGTTTCTCTACCATCCAATTTTTAGCTTTTCCTTGAAAAAGTACCTGGTAATGACAGTAACCTTATGTTTTGGGTGTTTAGCCTTGCTTTTAAAGTATGTTTAAAGCACACTGCTGCCTATTTTTTCATTCTAAAATAGGCATATGAGAGGAAAAACCTAATTGAATTATTTGGTTTTTGGCTTGTTATTGCTCATTAGCATGTCATTTATAATTACTTTCACATTCTCCTCCACTATTTAAAACTCCTAATGTAATCTTTCTTCTTATTTTGCATAATAAGTAGTTTCATGCAAACTGGTAGCTGTTTATATTTGTTCAAATTAGTACCTTAATGCTTTAAGCTACTTTAAACATTCTAGTGCTTCAAGCAGTTTTTATTTAGAAAATTCAGCCGTCCCCTCTCCTTGTTAGGGAGGGGGGGGGGGGGAGAGAGAGAGAGAGAGGACAGATTAGCTAGCTATAAAATCAGTGAGAAATATGTCTCATAATCAAATCAGTGAGAAATAGGACTCCAATTATCACAGCTCTCTGTCTGTCTCTCTGTGTGTGTGTCTAAATGAGCATTTTGAAGTGTAACATTTCGTAGTTATACGATTTTCATAATGGCTAATAGTAATTGAAATCTTCCTTGTAACAAACCATTCACCATGACAGTTGTCACTTTAGTATCACTTCATACAAGCTCAAACATAAAAATACATAGATTCCATAATCAGAGTGTTTTTAATATCATCCTCACTTCTAAGTGCAGAAGCATCAGATCAGGATGAACAGTCAGGATGTTTCACAGCGTCGAATACAGCTGAAAAATCAAGGTCCCCTAAACCCATGCTTCTTGCTTTCTTGAATGCCTGCATGCAGCATAGTAATGCGAGTTTGATTATCAGAGAGCTCTGGAAAGTTACGTAGAAAAACAGATCATTCAGTTTTTGGCGGATCTCACATCTTACGTTCCCTTATATTTTTATATGCAGTGATACGAAAATTTCTCTATTAAATGGATGTTTGGTACTTGTCTTCTTCTTTTCTTTTTTTGTTTTTTCTTTTTGTGGACCAGAGTCAAGATTATGCATTCTGAGAAGAAGAAAGAAAGGTGCTAAACATCTCCCAAGAGTTTGTCTGTCTGGAATTCTAGGCTTTTCCACCGTGAGTCAAAATAGTTGAGGCAAGACTAACCATCAATAGTTAGTGAAGGCTAAAAGGCAATTTAAGTCCTATGGAGACACCTCCTAAATGAAAGATAGGTTTTAAGTCTTAAGGAATTTCTGGTTTTTAACAATTGTCAAGCTTAAAAGCCAATCAAATAGCTTGTGAGAATCCAATGAAATTAAATATTTCCTTCCCAAAATCCCCCAAAGCTGGTGGCCAGGCTCCCAAGCTGGTATCAAATCATTTCTACAATTAGGCTACGAGTTATAAATCAATCCTCTAGAACACGAACTTCAAATTTCGCACACAAAAACCCGAAAGTTAAATACCAAACACACCGACTTAACAATGCCTCTCAAACAATGCAGTTGAAAGCAGACTGGACCAGCTAGCTGAACGAGTTCAACCAGAACAGATAAGTCCAGCAGTTCAGTTCCAATGTGTGGATCTTCTAAGGTAAAATTTGGATACATGCCGTGATTCCATGTGTCCTTCCATCACAATCGTGCAAAACCTCTTAAATTGTTTAGTTCAAAAAATGCGTTCTCTAACACTAGAGGTTCATTTTGATCAACAGTGACCTCATTTCTCCCTTATTTCCTCTTCAAATGCCAAATTATCATCATTAAAGTGATCTGTTGCAAATATTGGCTCTTGACCTAGAAATCCAATTTCCTTTCAACAAGAAATTAGCCAACACAAATTCTGATGAATTGATGCCTAATCTCCAGCATTGCTGAGCATGTTCTTCATGTTCTCACTCTGCCAAATAGCGATATGCCTATGAGTTTTACTATCTTTGCACTGCCGTGTCGAGTTTCTAGATCAAACTTGATACATATATGTGTACCATTTCTGTTCTGTAAGTGCAGAATATGTGTATATAAATGTCTATGTCTTCAACTGTAGAGCTTTTTACCTCTCTGAGGCTCTCAAAGTGGACAATGTATTCAGATACAGGTTGAGTTGAATAGTCCCTACCTCATTAGCAGCTGCTGCCACCGGCATTGACACTGCATAATCATCAGCAAGGGAGAGTGCCAACCTCATATCTTTTTGCTGGTGTTTTAGAGGAAAATGAGGGGAGTAACTTTTCTGGAGCATAGCTGGTCCCTTCATCCTAAACATCGGATTAGCAATTCCACCAAGGTCCTGCCAGGAAGCAAGAAGACATCAGAAGCCTATAACTCAAATGAACGTACAATTTATAAAGGATCTCAATAGACTTTCTCTCACCAACACATCAAGAAGAGTTTGAGGGTTCAATCCACTTTTATCAGCCAGTGTGAGGCCCTCAGAAAATGCATTCATCATGCTGCAAAGTGATGGATATTAAAACATTGAAACATATGTCAACTAGCTTGTGATTCTGACGTGAATTTGCAATTTATCCCACGGGCAAAAAAACATAAATAATGTGATGTCAGACAGCAAGATGGGAGGGAACAATGGTTGAATTTGATTGGCTTTTTTATCATTGAAACTGTAGAAATTTAGTATAGGTTTTAGGGGCTCCTATTAGCATTACAAAGGATAGAATTAAGGGTGCTATTCTGGTCGCTGTGAACGGAACCCTGGTGGTAAGATTGCAGGCTTTGTATTTAAGAACAAGGAGAAATTGTGCCAGTTGCTCTCATAATTTTAGGCGTCATATCTAGGGTTTGATTATCATTCACAACCTCCACAAGCTTCCAAGTTCCATAAAACTATCCAGAATAGGACATTTGGTTTTGCTTTCATAAAAAATTTTGATTGCTAGAGGCCCAACGAGAAATATTTTGTGATGAGTAGCTGAAATTTCAAGTTTCAGGAAAACTATAACAACTAACTTATGGAGGATTTCTGTCAGCTATATGGCAACCAAACTAAGCTGTTTTAGTTGTGAATTTATAATTTGGACCTCCTTATGTTTCACTTCACCTATTTTTTTAAGCTCCATAAACGACGCAACAAGATCTGTCAATCTCTCATATTGCTTTATGTATTTGTGCAAAAACACAGTTGTTATACCTTCCAATATCATGTTGACAACAAGTTTCATTTTTGCTCCATTTCCAACTAGCCCAGGAAGAAAGACTTTTTTCCCATTACGTTGAACGCAGGAAGTACTTCATCATACAATGCCTACAATTATAGAAGCACAAAGAAAATAAAAGGATAATAAGCAATCCGGACCAAATAAGCATAATCATGATATGTATATTCTACGCAGACCAATTAGAAAAGTGACTTGGGAAGAGATTGTGTGATATTGATTAACAAGTTGTCTTGGTTTTTTTTTTTTAATATGACTCAAATTCTTCTCCAGTGATTACCTCTTCCCCTGGAGTTAGAAAAAAAAACTGCAAAAATTCATCCCTATTACTTAATTTATTCACCTTTTCTCCTGCAGCAAGGATTACTAATTGACCATCTTCAGCTTGTTTTTTGCTACCTGAAACTGGAGCTTCAAGGAAATAACCTCCTTTTGATGTGATTGCCTGGAGATATGCAAAGAACAATTGCATTACCACTCTTAATCATTACAAGTATGAGCGAGAAGATTATTGCTTTCTTATTTGTTCCTATTTTTTAGGTTTTGTTGGATGCGTTCACAGTTTTTTGAAAAGTGTAATCGAGTGATAGAATAAAAAGAGAAAACAGCCTAAAAAGGGTGATTCCAGAAATAATTAACCATCATGAAGAAGGAAAAATGTTATCTCTAGGCCTTAAGATTTTGCATATGAGAAAATTCAAAAATGCAGAGCAGGTGAGCACAAGAAAACAAAGATGCAATAGCAGCAGCATGAGATTCAGACCTCACTGATCTTTGAAGAGTGTGGCAGTCAACTGTTGACATGTCAATGTAACCTTTACCGCTGCAAATCTCCTCAAGAACACCATCCTTATCGAAAACAACTAGGAAAACCAACTTTTGATTAAGTAGAGATGGTTAAAAAGGTTAATTTTTATCAAGTCAAACCTTATTTATCTACCGAAAGAGCTGCTGAAGGATCAGACAGTATTGCAATTGTGTACGTGCATTTCTTGACCACTGCTGCAGGAGTTTCAGCAACTGATGCCCCTAATTCCACCAGCTCATCACACTGCAGACACAAAAAAAAATTTTAAAAAAAACACTTGTTATTTGTTCCATTTTATATTCGGTTTTCCATTTTCCAGGGGAAAATAAAAAAATCATGTAATCTCAACCATTTTCGTTTAAAATAGTTTTTGAAAATTCTGAAAACAATTTTTTGTTATCAATTAAAACCAGTGTTCGCTTTTCTGGAAATTGTTCTAGAAAAAGTTTTTTTTTTTTTTTTTTGAAAACAATTCTAAAAACACTTGTATTGCGAAGTGTGGCGAACATACAAAGCAATTGCCGTCCTTTTAAGTTGGTTCATGATCTGCTTCGGACTATGATTTAACGTTAATGAATTAAAGTTTACAAGGCTAATGTATTGTTGGACTCTGTTTATTTTGTTAAAGGCAGGAAAATAATTATTTTGTTATCTGTTTTCTGTTTTGTTTCGGTTTTCAGTTGCACAGTTTCTGAAAACAGAAAAACCAAAGACTACGACAACACAGTCTTTTTTTTCCACACGATTTTTGTTTTTGCGTCAAAATCAGCATTTGGCAATTCAAAAAGCAACTCCTTATGTACTGTTCTGGGTCTGTTTCTAAAACTGTTTTGCAGAAATGCTTGAAAACAATTTGCCAACAGGTTTAATTGTTTCGGAAGGAGACACCACTTTTTGAACAATTACGCTACTAGAGGGAATGCTGGATCAAACTGTTATGCCAATTTTGACAACCCGCCAATAAAACAGCCTATTTTATTTGATCAGTCACGGCTAGTTTCTAATCGTGGTCCTCATCCTTTTCTCTTCTTTATTTTATTTTTATTACCACCATATGAAAAAGGAAAACACCTTATTCATTTCAGGAAGCCCAGATCGGAGAAAATAGTTATTCTCCCAGATATACCCATGAACACGAAAGGAAGTATGCAGGAGTATATAGCTACATGTATCTGCATATATACATACACAAAACGAGGAGGAAGAACAAGAGAAGAGAGGAAAAGTACCCTGGAAAGCGTGCGGTTCCATACAGTGACCCTGAAGCCATGACGGAGCAAGTTCATGGACATGGCCTTCCCCATTATTCCCAGCCCCAGAAACCCAACTTCCACCTCCATCTTTTTCCTTCTCTCTCTCTCTCTCACTAGAGCTTCAATGGGGGAAAATCAATGCTTTGCTCCACAACACTCTGCTTTATATCAAATAAAGTAATATTAGTGCTGTTTTCACTTACATAGCATTGCAGGAGCAAGAAACCAAAAATAGGTTGGATTATAACATTTGTATATTCGAAGTCCCTGTGTTGTTTATAACCCATCGTTGTCGTTGAAATATAAATAACTCAGCAAATGAAAGTGAATACGAGAGAGAGAGAGCGAGGGGAAGGACGATGATGTCTATTTATAAAATATTTTATATGCGATCAATTGTGCCAGAGGGGGAATAGCAGGGCCGGCTATCATGCAAAACAAGTAAAGAAATTGCTTAGCCATTTTAGGTGTCATACAATTTTAGAATAACTTTATTCACCCCGAGCTATGCCCAAAAACATTATGAACTTGTATTTAATAGTCAGACTACATAACACTGTAAAATTACTTATATATCCTTCAAGAAATGACAAAATTACAGTCTTATTATCAAAAATACTCCCACATATTTACCAAAATCTTTAAAATTTTATTTCTTAAATACCCTCAGACACAAAAACTTATTTGCAAAAAAAACCCTAAATCAGCGGAGGCCGATCAGAGAGGAGTCGATTGGGGTTGCCGTTCATGGTTGGCCTTCCACTGGGTGAGAGATTTGGGTTAATTTTAGCAACTCAGTCCTTTATCTGCCTAGCGACCAACAACGACTGTTGTGCTGGGGTGGGCAGGCAACCTCTACTGAAAATTAGCAAAAAATTAATAAATAAATAACACAAGGGCGAACGAATCCGGTTGTAATAACCTGGATCTGTCCACATTTGTTGCCACCCACAGCTAGAGGTATTCGTAGTTTAATTTAGTTCGATTTAATGTTTAAATTTAAAATAAATTATATTTTATAATTTATAATTTTTATAAATTAAATTAAATTACAGTTTACAATTTATTTTAATATCAAATTACAACTTATGATTTATAAATAAAATAGATTAAACTCATTATTTTTATAAAAATTTTGATAAAATTTCCTAAAATTGATCATTTATTTATTTTTCAACATATTTAACTTAATAAATTCATTATTTATTAATTAAATATAGTAATTATATATTATATAATAAATACATTTATACAATTTTACAAAATTTTACTATTATTATTATTAGAAATTACACTTTAAAAAAAATATAAATTATTAAAATAAATATAAAAATAAAAATAAGAAATATATAATCAAATAATAAAAATATATTATATTTATAGATATAGAATTTTAATTTTGTATATATAAAAATTATATAATTTTATTTAATTTATACGATTTATCTAAATATTAAATATCAATTCAAATTAAACTAAATTATACTATTTAATTTAATTTAATTTATTTTGCTTCAATTTGATTTGTTAAACACTCGTATTGATAACTAGGAATCGGCACCAGTTGCTGGCATCACAAGCGAACGTCGACCACCATGCCAAGGTGGCGGGGCTGACGCTACTGAAAGTCAGCTAGAAAAATAAAAAAGGGGGACAGACATTATAATAAATGGGCTTTATTCTGCTTTACTTCTAACTGAGAATCAACCTAATTCACCCGCTTGGTAAATCAGGAGATCACAAAGTGAAGGATAGAGTCTTGGGCATCTTGGCATACAAACTCAATGGCAATGGAATTTTTTTTTTTTTTTTTTTTTTTTTTTTTTTTTTTTACAGTAAGGTCATTTTCATCCTAAAAACTCAAACAATTTCAGGTCTGTTCCGTGCATCATGGATGTCATCAAATTTTAAACGTTAATTTATTGGCTATTAAAACTAAGGGACTAAATGATTTTTTATTTATTTTTTAATGCAAGGGCTTAACTGATGGTTTGATTATGGTGTAGGGATTAATGAACTTATCTCAAAATTTTATAATTGTAATAATAATTAAAAAATCATAACAATTAAAATTTTATAATTTTTATTAACTACAATTTAATCATCAATGCAACTCTTAATTTTTTTATTTATTTCATAATTAAAATCTCGTATTTTAAAATAATTATCTATTAATTTCTATGATCCCTTGTTTTACAGCTCATTTTTTTCTTTCTCATTATCTCACCAAAACTCTCACTTAATATTTAAATATTTTATTAATTTTTTTCAATAAATTAGTTATATTATAATTAAGAAAAAAATTAAAAATTTTGATATAAAATTTAATTAATAATTTTATGTCTAAAAATTAGAAAATTAAATTTTAAATAATGATTAGTATTAATTTAATTAAAAAATAAAAAATCTCAAGTTGAGCCGCCGCGAGAAATAGTCGGCTCGACGTCCATTGGTTGATGGGTGGTAGAAGGAGTTTCCCTGCTGATCTCTGCCACGTCTGCCCGCCTTTTTCCCCCGGCCCAGCTGTTTCTCTGCTTCTATATGTGGCCGAAGTTTGGCTGCAGAGGCCGAAAGTCCTTCCCCGGTGTAACTTTTGTAGAAAGAACTTTTTAAAAAGCATTTTGAAATGCACTTTTCACTCCCATTTCCCTTTTACAAAAAATATTAATAAAATATTATTAAGAGTAAAAATTATTTTATTCATTTAAACTCTTTTATTTATCTTATTTATTTTTTAAAAATTATTTATTATATTATTTATTTATTTAAAATTAATCCTTTTAAACTAGTATTATATTTATTCTTTTAAACTCTTAAATCTTAGATACTAATTTTTTTAAATATTTTTTAAAAATAATTAATTATTAAAATTTTTAAATTTTAAATTAACAAATTATAATTGATAATAAATATTATTAAATATATTTTAATTTTAGATATTAATTTAAAACATAGTTAAATTTTATAAAATTAATTTAAATTATTTATACAACCTAATTAAATAAAAAGTTACATTTAGTTTTATATAAAATTAATTTATACTATTTAACAGATATAATTAGGTTTTAAATTGTAGTCCTTAGATAGTTTTACAAAATCCAATTTGTTTGTTTTCAACTAACAACTTTTTTATTTTGTTAAGTTATTTAAATAATTTAAATTAATTTTATAAGATTTAATTGTATTTTAATTTAATATTTAAAGTTAAAATAAATTTAATAATATTTATTATCAATTATAATATATTTAATTTATATTTTTAAATTTTAACAATTAATTATCTTGATAATAATATTTTTAAAAAATTTTAATTTTAAAATTTAGAATTTCTGAAATAAATATAATAACTATATTAACTGTGTTAGTTGTAAGAAGTATATAATATAATAAATAGTTTAAAAGATAAATAAGATAATGAAAAAAGTCTAAAGGGTAAAATAATTTTTACCTTATTATTAATTAACCCAGTTACAAGTTTAACTTTAAACTAACAATAGTTTGTTGAGGTGCTTTAATTAATTTATTTATTAATAAATTTAATATCTACGTTCAGAAAATTTTAAAAAATATATACATTTAAATAAAATTAAAAAATATCGTAATATTTTTGTTAAATGTTGCGTTCGGTTGTTCCGTTTATTGGTTATTTTATCTACAAAAAATAGAAAAGGAAAAGGAAAATTTTGCGTGCGACCGACCGTTGCATCGCGTATTTAGAATGCGAAGAATCGAATCCGATTCCGCGGCGGGTCGGTCACACCACAGCGGTCCTTTGCGCATAAGCATCTCGCCACCTCTCCCCCTTTCCCTCTCCACCAACTCACCGGTGACAGGGAGTTTTCTGTATTAAAAATCCATTAAAATGGGACTCTCTTTTGGCGTTTAGACGCATTTTACAGATTTGTTTACAAACTAAAACACGGACTACCCAGCGATTATGCGCTATATATTGAAGTGTATTCATCGAAACAGATATTTTTATTCTACAATTTTGTCCTAGTGTTACTGAAAAGGCGAGCACACGTACATATATACATATAAGAGAGAGCGAAAGAGGGTAGAGAATCGAAGCATTGTGATCTGAAATGGCTACCGGAGAGGACGAAGGAGTGACATTAGCGTTCACTCCGACGTGGGTTGTCGCCTGCGTCTGCACCGTCATTGTCGCCATCTCCCTCGCCGTCGAACGCCTCATTCACTACACTGGCAAGGTAAGCTTTCTGCTCTTTTTTATTATTATAATCATTATTAGATTTTACAGTAAATTTGAACCTGGTAAGTTTATTTTGCAGTATCTGAAGAAAAACAATCAAAAGCCCCTGTTCGAAGCTCTACAGAAAGTAAAAGAAGGTGACATATTCACCCAGTGCATCACTCTCTTCTTCTCTCTCTGGATATACCCATTTAATTTCATGAACATTATTTGTGCAACTCATAGTTATAATCAGGAATGGGTTAGCTGCTAGGTGCATCTCTCTCTAAACTAACCCCCTATCAGAGATCTAATAATTTTTATTATTGGGTATTTGAATGTGTATGGGTGCAGAGTCGACGTTGTCGGGTTTCTTTTGCCCCAATTTTTAAGTCAAAAAAAATTCCACAAGCTATGATTTTGTAACTTTTGGACTTATGCTGGAGCTTTATAGCTCATGACCTTTTTCCAGCCTTTGAAATGAGCAGCTTTTGACTTAAAATCCTGAAAGTTATGAACAACGGTTTTGAACATTTATTTACTTTTTTGGCTTAAAATGCCAAGCAGATAAGGCTGAAAAGCCAGGCTACCAAGTTATATTCATGTCTCTGTTTCTAATGGTGGGGTTCATGAAAACTGCTTACGTATCCCGCTCTACTACCTATTTGAGGTCTAATGATATTTTTTATTTGGTCTATGAACGTGTGGCTGGGTGCAGAATTGATGCTGTTGGGGTTTATTTCGCTGCTTCTGACAGTACTTCAAGGCAGTATAGTCAAGATTTGTGTGGACAAGAGTATAGCCGAGCACTTTCTTCCTTGCAAGCTCCCATCAGAAGCTACCAATGGAGAAGAGTCTTCTTCTACTGCAAGTGAAACAACTTCCATCTTCAAAGATTGATTTCCGAAGGATTCACTGTGGATAATTATTGTGCTGCGCAGGTCCCTTATATTTCATTGCATCTCCTTGAAGATATTGTTCTGCAATAAATAGAAAAATAGTTTGAAATATAATGCAGCCCATTTAGCCTGCAAAATCAACATGGGTTATATACTATCCTGAATCCATGTATTTTTGCTTATGTAGATATTCAAGCAACTTAAGGACAAGCTAACATGAAAGTACTCGTACAAATATTTTTCTTATTTAATCTATTGACAAATATTTTACTTAAGTTGTATTCTTGGTTTGGAAATTCTGTAAACTGAGGAAGAATGAAAATATTTTGCCTTCATCTTCACTTGTCCTTATAGGCAGACTTTTTTTTTTTTTTTTTTTTTTCCCTGTATGGATTGAAAGACACCATTAAAATGTGCCAGGCCAGCCTCAAACTCCAACGACAACAGTTACTGTTGTTTACATTTTCCCAGTCCCTCATTTTTTTTTTTTTTTTTTGATTTGTCATACTAGTTTTGCAAGGTTGCCTTTGGATGAGGGTCTCAGTTAGTGGTTACACTTGTGACAGTTGAAATCTTACTTGTAGACAACTTGGTAAAATTGTTCATAACAGCGCACACTTTTGCAGCTATGATTTCCAACATGCTAAAGCTTTTCTTCCCTGGTGTTCTGCTATCATTTTGGTTGAATACCAATTACATAGCAATACACTTATGTAGATTTTATAGAACATGCTTATGGAGTTTATAGTACAAATGTTTGTATTTGGTATTTAGTTCAACTGGTAGGTTCATATTCATGTTGGATATTGTAGTTGCGCAAGATTTTTCATGTTGATAAAATTACTAAAGTGTGTATTTGTGTTTCCTCCTTTCTGTTTTTAATTTTCTTTCTGCAGAATAAGGTCCAGTTGTTGTCTGGTAAAGCATTGCACCAGCTACATATCTTTATCTTTGTGCTGCCATTGTCCATGTGACTTATAGTGTTTGCACTGTCCTATTTGGACAGGCACAGGTGAGAATGAAGTTTACTTCTAGTTCTCTCCAAACTATATTTTGTTGGTAGTTTTTTCTTAACAATTTCTCCTCTTATATGCTTCTGCTGTAAATTTTCATATATTATGACATAGATATGGCAGTGGAAAGCTTGGGAGGACTTAATTGCAAAAGACAACTATGAGACAGAACAAGGTTAGAATTATTGCTCTCAAAACTTAATATAATTTTTTGTTTCGTTGACTGTTTATGTTAAGTAGCTAACAATTGCTATGCATGTAAGCATTTACATAGTAAAACTTTTACCGTGCTTAGAAGTGGGTCACTTAAAATATTTAGCATTTACGATTATTTTACGATAAAAAACAGGTTCTATCAGATCACTGGATTCTGCACTTTTTTGTTTTGCCTTTATTTGTTTTTCCCCGTTGTTTTTAGCGTATGAAACCATAATGGAGGGGGAAAAAAGATAATTGAAGATAATTGAAGCTTTTGTAGCTGTAGTTGTTTTCAACTTCCTCTGCCTATATAAAATCACTCTGATCTTGTGTATAATATATCCTTTCACTTCACTATGCAGTTCTAAACCAAAGCTCACTCATGTCCATCAACATGAATTCATCAAGGGTCGCTTTCTGGGTATTGGGAGGAATTCAGTTATTATGAGCTGGTTGGTAAGTTATCTTCTTAGTCCTTATGGTTAGCACCCACCATTTAAAAAATAAAAATAAAAATTAAAAAAAAAGAGAGAGAGAGAGTGAAAATCAGAATGCCTTGGGTCCTATGACAAGAATTTTGGCACATTGGTTCGTTGCTGTTCTCTGTCTTATTTAATATTATACCCATAAATAATTCGACACAAACTGGTGCTGCCATCTAAGTGGGTTTGGCTGTGTCCTGACTGTATGCTAGTTTTATCTAAGTTTTTAGTAGATTATGGCCATTCATCAACTGGTTACTCTTCATGATACCTTTAAATGCCAATTTTCCTTGGAGCTTGATGAAGGTGGAATTTGAGACATTTCCTTGATATAACTGCAAAGAGGTTTTACTAGGTACCTAACACCATTTCAGGCAACAGTTTCTTTTGCCGGCTGTTCTTTTATATGCTTGTAATTCTATAGCCTATATATGTGTCCTGCCATTTGTATTATCCTATTTTCATATGTTAAAACAATAATTTACAAACTGAGTTGTACTAATCAATATACATAGCATAAGATTATTGTTGACAATTGCCATTTGTTTATTATTTTACAAACTTGTAAGGGAATATAACTTAATTGCCTCTGCTATCATTCAAAATTTCCAGTTGCATACATTTTATATATTTCATCCATGACTATGTGATTCTACTGATCCTCTTTCTATGTGTTCCAAACAATGACTCTGATTCTCAGAAATCATCTCTTTCTTAACTGTGAAAGTGAAAAACAACTGTCCAAATGATTGTTTAGCTTCTGAATTATTACCTCTAGTCATTTCAATGATGTGATATTGTCTCCCTTTAGGCACAAGATGTTCTGAAATGTATTTTTGGGTTGAATTTTCCAGCATTCATTTTTCAAACAATTTTATGGTTCTGTCAGCAAATCTGACTACATGACTCTAAGACTTGGCTTTATTATGGTAAGTATCCAATGCATGCATGATGTTTTCTTTTAAAAATGTTTTAAAATTTTTCTTTTTTTCTAGATGACCTGCTTTTGCCTTGCTGCTGAACTTATTTTACTACAGATGCATTGCAGGGGGAATCCAAAATTTAATTTTCACAAGTATATGATCTGTGCCCTGGAAGATGATTTTAAGAAAGTTGTTGGTATAAGGCAAGTGATAGCTAGGGCTTCGCTTGTAAATGCAAAAGTTTCCAATATCTCCTTCTCCTTTGCCTCTAATAATAATAATACAATAATAGAGTTAATAGTTCTGGTTTGGTAGTTAATATCAGATTTGGCTGGTTGCAGTTGGTATCTGTGGATATTTGTGGTTGTCTTCTTGTTGCTGAACATTAATGGTATGTTAGTTACTGTTACATCTTTTTTAAATCCCAATCCTAATGGTATGTTACCTACTGTATTTAGTTACTGTTACATCTTATTTGAATCCCAATCCCAATAGTTATCAAGTGATTTAAATTATTTTGTCATTTTATTTTCATTGTGCTGTCGGGGTGACTGTATTGTGCATATGTTGGTTTTACTTGGAGAATGGGGTTTTAGTATCTGTTTTATTTTATTTTATTTTCATTTTGAAATATGCTTGGTGCATGCATGTTTCTAACCTCTAATTTGAAGGTGAAGAAGTTTAACTTAACTCCTTTACAGCTGCATTGACAAGTTTCTGACCAAAGTTAATATAATGTTCATTGCCCTGTTGTCCAATCGAGTCATTTTGTTACACATATCACTCTTTTTGGTTAAAGCTCTATTTTATCTTTTGCAGGTTGGCATACATATTTTTGGATAGCTTTCATCCCTTTCATTGTGAGTTGTCCCAGATACAGTCTATATGCTTGGTCATGCACCCAACATGCTACCTAACTTTTATTTATCATGGCTTTAGATTGAATTGGAACTTGTGGCCTGATAACTCATTGAGATAGGAAGTTTTCTCGAATGATCAGATGGAATGCTTAAAAACTTGCAATTTGTTTTCAAATTAAATCTTCACCTTGAATGATTTTAAATTCATAATTTTCCAATTGCAAATGGTTAGAGTTTGTTACAAATAGTTACCCAATTCAGAAAAGGGTAAAAGCCAATATTCTGATTTTCTGTAATGCATTGTTTTGCATGTTTTGCTGCATCATCTACTTATGAAATGATAGCTTCTCTTTATCATTTCTATCATATCTGAGCCATCTCTTATAGTAGTTAACTACAATGCATTTATCTGAGTTAAATTCATGACTTCACTTGTTTAACTTTTCAGCTGCTACTTGCCGTGGGCACTAAGTTGGAGCATGTAATCAACCAACTGGCTCATGTTGTAGCTGAGAAACATGCTGCTATTGAGGGGGAATTAGTTGTTCAACTTCAGATGACCATTTTTGGTTCCGTCGCCCTTCGCATTGTCCTTTATTTGATACATTTCATACTTTTTCCAAAATGCTTTTGAGATAGCATTTTTCTTCTGGATATGGGTAAAACTTACGTGAATTTGAATCTTTTTCATTACTTTGGAAAAGGAAAAAGAGTAGTAATTCGTAACTAATCATAGTTTTTCATCGCCTTCAGGTTCAATATGGTTTTGACTCCTGCATAATGGGCCACCTCTGTTACATTGTCCCCCGGCTGGTTATAGGGTGAAAATCACTGTCCCTTCTTTTTCTGATTTTTTTTATTACAGTGATGCCACCATTTTAGAATTTTATTATATTTACCAAGTATTGGAATTATAAGACTGTCGATTGGCCTTCTAGGGTATTCATTCAGGTACTCTGCAGCTATAGCATCTACCCCTCTATGCCATTGTAACACAGGTGAGTTCAATCCTGCTACTGCAAATTATGACCTGTGAAAATGCTAAATCACAGATATGGCAGTGGCATTCTTGTAATACTATTCTTAAATATGGGTATTTTATATTTCTAAATGAATAGACAACAATAAGCCACCTTGTTTTGCATGAAAATTATGCTTGTAATTACTCTAACTCAATATTATGATTTTTAAACCTTAACTGCTAAACCGCTGTTTCTTCTTCTTCCTCTTCTTCTTGGTGGTGGCAATGCAATGAAGATGGGAAGTTATTTCAAAAAGGCGATATTTGACAAGCCTATGCAAGTTGGTCTGGTTGAATGGGCTCAACAAGCCAAGAAGAAGAAGCACTTGAAGAAATCACGTAATGGCTCTGGAGAAGAAAACGCAAATGGTGTTTCTGCAATAGGGATTCAGCCGGGCAGAAACGCAGCCAGGGAATCTGCACCAGAGGAGATTTAAACCGCCACCGGCGTCAAGTGAGTTAAAGATGAGCTAAGGATGTGTTAGGCAATGAGAATAGGCTCAGGCTTTTTTTCTCTTATGCCCAATATGCTGGTCGATTTTGCATGTTGATGCCCTATGTAGCTTTCTATATGCAGAAACTTTTTGAACTTGGATGGAACTTATATCAGAATGTATTATACTTTATGGGCTTAGTAGTTAGGGTTACACGTTTATGTATGAGAGGGATTGACCCATTTTTGAATTATGAAAGTCATTAGAAGAAAAAAGAACTGGGGAATTCTGAATTTGGTTTGTTTGTTTTATTTGAAAAGCGGCCGAATTTTTATCCCATTAAAATAAAAAGGCACAAAAATAAAAATTAAATCTCTCGAAAAGAGTTATTTTTTAACAATATGATAGACATTACCTTAAAAATATAAATTTGTTAATAAATATATTACTATATTTCAAAAATAAGATTATTTATTTATTGTAAATGTCACACATGTTCAACTATAATCTCTTCCAATTCACTAGTGTCTGACAACTAAAAAATTCTTAAAAAATTTTAATTTTGACTCGATAAATATTATTCAATAATGTAAACTACCGAATGAAAGCAATTGTTTTTAAAAAAATAATAAAATAAATTATCATGTTTGTAACAATAAAGAAAAAACAAAAAAAAAATTGAACTTAATCAAGGGAAGAAAGTAAAATGTGAGTTATACCCCATGCCAGTGCCTCCAAAAAGGAAAAAATTGCAAAAAGGACCCCTATAAATAAAAAAATTGAAAACCTAAAAAAAAAATCCAAAAATGGTTTTATAATCGTATGAGCAGTAAATACTAATTTGCATGAATATTTTTATTATTAATTTATACTACTGATTTTATTAAATGAGGAGAATTTATAAATTTAATTACTGGATCCTATGTGGGATTTTTTTTAATGGGATTATTTGTGTTAGCATACTTGGAATTAATTATGACTTTATACAAGCCCTTTTTTGTAATGAGGCAACCGCGATAAAAGTCACTTTTGGCTTTTTGAACGTTGAGCTAGCAACTGGTAGTAGCATGCTCCATTTGCCCAACTTATATTTTCAAACCGATCCCCTAATAGCGGGGAAGATTCACTTTTCACCACCTCTATTTTTTGCTCTCCTCCGTCTCCGGTGCAGGACCAGCTCTCCGCCGACGATCGCTTCCATGGTCAACTTAGCCGAGCGGAAAAGGAAGAACACGAAGCCGGGGGCGGAAGCAGCGGCGACGACCACCATCGCCGCCGACAGCGACAAGAAGAGACCGCGACGAGTTAAGCGCACAAGGCCTAAATGCGAGGAGAAAAAAGAAGAGGCGGCGGCGGTTGGAGGAGATATTGAAGATTTGGGTTTTCGCAGAGACGAAGCCTTGGTGATAAGGGCTTCTCTCCTGGAGTGGTACGACCGTAACCAGAGGGACCTTCCGTGGCGGAGAATCAGCAGTAATGGTGGAGATGGGGACGAGGACGAGGACGGAAGCGAAAGAAGGGCTTATGCGGTGTGGGTTTCGGAAGTAATGCTTCAGCAGACTAGGGTTCAGACGGTAATCGACTATTCAACCGTTGGATGCGGAAATGGCCCACCCTTTGTCACCTCTCCCGCGCTTCTGTCGAGGTTCTGTTTCTTGATTGTTTAGATCTGTTCAGGTGAAACTATTTTATTAGATTTTGCGCTAATAATTGGATTAATTTTTGCAGGAGGTGAATGAAATGTGGGCAGGTTTGGGCTATTACAGACGGGCACGCTTTCTGCTTGAGGTGAGTGTCTGTGTGTGTTCTTTTCTACTTGCAGTAGCTTTTTACCATCTGCTACAAGCTATTTTACAGTCTTTAGTTGCATTTGTATTGAGAAAAAATTGGTTCAACTACCTGGGTTGACTGCAGCACTCACTTGGACAGGAAAGAAATTGCCAACGTCCACTTAGTTGCTTTCCTTGCACAGTACAGTTATTCTAACGATTCACTTCTAAAGTTGTCTCCTGTCATTGGTTTCATTGAATTAATTGATGTAGAATCCACATTCTTTGGTTAATTGCCGCGGATAATGAGACCATCCACCAAACAACTAAAGCAGTTCTTTAACTTGCAGCATGTAAAACCTGTTTTTGTAATTAGTTTATGTCTTTTACTGTCAGGGGGCAAAGATGATAATTGACGGGGAGGCATATTTCCCAAACAGTTTCTGAACTCAGGAAGGTCAGGGAATTGGAGATTATACAGCTGGTGCAATTGCCTCTATAGCATTCAAAGAGGTGGGTAAGTTACTGCTAATTTTCTTGTTAATTATAAGAGAAGCATCCTCTTTCATTTTCATCTTTCACAAGACTTGGTATTTCAGCCTGTGCCTGTGGTTGATGGGAATGTCATCAGGGTGGTGGCTAGACTAAAGGCCATTGCTGCAAATCCAAAAGAATCAGCAACTATCAAGAACTTTTGGTGAGTTTTCTTTTTGGCTACCATAGCATATCATTATACCTTTACATATCTATCTATTTATATTTCCTTTTTTTTCTTGGTTCGGGCTGGGAGGGGGGCCGGGTGGGGTAAAATTAACTCACTAAAGATTGTTATGAGACAAATATCACCTTTTCCCCTCTCTTCTACCTTCCTTTTCCACTTCTTTCCTCGTCTCTTCCTTACATAGAAATGTGTATTTTGTTTGTTTCATTCATATGATTACATATAAAACCAAACACCAAGGTGAAATCCCCAAATTTGAACTCAGACTAGCTAATAATTTTGGCTTTCTCTGTAAAACATTTCTGAGTTGATAAAGAGCCTCTATTTAATGCATGCCACTGTTTTGCTGGCCCTGGAAACTGTATAGGTTGCTACATTTTCATATTCTATATACTCCATTGCTGTGCTATGCTAAAATTTGGCCATATTTGTTAAATTGTTACTTTGTGGTTTGACCATTCATGAATCATGACGGTGCTAATAACTTCAAAGAAAAAAGCAGCTCAAATAATATGGTGTCTTAATCAGCATTTTTCATGGCATATTTCTACCACTGTAATTTTTACAAATTTTTTCAAATTTCTTATTTTCCTTACTATTCTTTATCTTTATCTTGTTTCGTTCTTTCTTTCTTTCTTTTTTTTATTTTTAATTCAATTTTTGTACCAGGAAACTTGCAGGGCAATTAGTTGATCCTTCCAGACCTGGAGATTTCAATCAGGCTCTAATGGAACTTGGTGCCACAGTATGTACTCCCTTGAACCCCACCTGTGCTGCTTGTCCTTTATCAGCCTACTGCAGTGCACTCTCTCTCTCTAAACATGGATCAGTGGCAGTTACAGATTATCCTACAAGGGTTGTAAAAACTAAGCAAAGACATGATTTTTCAGCTGTTTCTGTTGTGGAGATCATAGAGGGACTTGATTCTGATGGTAGATTTCTCCTAGTAAAGAGGCCTGATGAAGGTTTACTTGCTGGCCTCTGGGAGTTCCCATCTGTTCTTTTGGAGAAAGAGTCTGACTTGGACACAAGGAGGAATGCAATTGATCAATACTTGAGGAAGTCTTTCAATCTAGATTTCAAAAAGTCATGTAGTGTGGTTTTGAGAGAAGAAATTGGGGAATATGTCCATGTCTTCAGTCACATTCGTCTCAAGATGCATGTGGAGTTGTTGATTGTACATCTGAAAGGTTTCACTTCTATCACAACTTTCTCTCTGATGCAGACACTCACATGCACGTCTATTCAATTACTCATAAATATCCCTCTACATGGGCAAACTTTGTGCACTAATTCATTTATAGATACTTATCTGTTAGTTTTCACATGGTATATTTAGATTCTCCTTTACCTCCATTGGACGTAGGTGGGAAGCACATTTTGCATGGAAAACATGAAAGCAAAACCATCGCTTGGAAGTCTGTTGATAGCACGGACCTTTCAAACATGGGATTATCATCTGGCGTAAGAAAGGTATATGAAATATTTGTATCCTGCAATTTTTTCATGACGGAAACTGATGCTTGGCATTCAAGTTACTTCTTTTCTGTTTCTTTTTTGGTTGCATGAAGTTAGTTCTTTGAATTGGAAAGTCCTAGGCCTAGGTATGCCCATTTTCTAGCTGATGCTTATTGACTAATTCACAGAAAGTATTGACTCCAGTACTATCAAGAAAACTTGAAATAGCATACAGAAAGAATTGATAATTTCTGATGTTGGACATGGTTGTTTTCTTGAGTATGAATCTTGTGCTTGTTTCACTTTGATTTCCATTTTGATTGGTTGGATTTTGTAGATGACTCATCTATTTTGCTGATACATGGAAATTGTTTATTGTGTTCAACTTTCCAGTTTCACTGCTTTGTCTTTTGAAGATTATTCAAATATGTCACACAGTTGTAAGTTGAGATATTAAGCAGTATAGTGGATAATGGAAAAGCGAGCCATTTTGGGCAGAGTTGCCGTGCGTGTGTATTGGGAGATGAAAGTATCAGTTTCCGCCTGGTTCAAGAAACTTCTAAGCCCTTCTGTGCTCAATTTGAATGGATGGATGGGCAGAGACCTAAGCTCTTGGCTATTTATGCACAATGTCACCAAGTGTCTGCCATGAGAACCTTCTTTCTTTTTCTGACTAAATCGTTTGAGGCAATGTGCTTCAAATTTCAATTCCCTAAGAAAGCTTCCTAATGGAAATGCTTATCTTGGAAAAAGCAATTGACGAGAAAGTAAAAGCACGTTTATGTTGATGAGCAGCAACCACAAAACGTGAAAAAAATACAGAAGTTAAAAACATGGAAGAAAAAAAAAATACACCCTTGTTTCCTTTTGTTGAAGTTTCCTAAATTATGTATTAATGATGAGAAGAAATTCCGTGAGAAGGGATGACTTTAAACCTAAGTCCCCACCATTTGATGTGGGGAGGTTATGAATTTCTCACATCTTAGCTTCAAATATTGGAATAATGGTAAACCAGAGGAATTCAATTTTCTTTTAATTTTTATTATTTCAAATTCTGATATTCACAGCCCACTTTAGAAATGTAAAAACATTAATAGAAAAGGATGAAGTAACTAAAGAAGTATAGATATGACGGGATTCTGGAATGCTGTTAGACCGTCCTTCTTTGTACTGCTTTGACAGATGACAGTTGGCCTTGAAATTTTGGTCAGTGACTCTCCTAGCTGTTTTATATCTTTGGAGGCAACGTTTGTTTGGATAATATGAGATGCATTGACTATCCTTATTCGCAACCTCGTTTAATTTAACCCCATAATTATCTCCTTGCAGGTTTACTCCATGATTCAGAAGTTCAAGCAGAACGGATCCAAACCAATCCTTCCAAAAGCAAGAAATAAAAAGGCATTATGAAATTCATTTTCTTGGTTCCGGAAGTTGTACAGAATCAAGAAACTAATTTTATTTAATACTTATTCTTGAAAGCAATTCTGTGTCATAATTTTATAAAGTCTCTTGTCTTGGCTTGTTTATTTTCCTTCTTCTGCGCCTTTAGCCCACTTAATTCACAACACTTCCCCTCCCCACCCCCCCCCCCCCAAAAAAAAAAAAAAAAAAAACTGTGAAACCCCCTCCGGCACAGGAGAAAGAAAGAGGAGAAAAGGGAAAAGGAAAACAGATGAGAACTATGGTTACTGTGGATGGCTCAACTGGTTAGAGAATCAACTGGTGTCTCTGCTTTGTTCCTTTCTATTTGAGTCTGAATTGCGTATTTGTGAAGGAAAAAACAGAGTAAAATAAAAAATTATAAATTTACCTCTTTCTTAGATGGATTGCAAGAATGAGAATAGTTCGAAATAGTTTCTACGGAAAGGGTTCAATTTTTACGGGCAGACATTTTAACTTTTTTTTGTCATGATGCGCACACCTCAAAAACTGAATATGCAAAAATAACAAAATTTTCTTTTAGTTAATAATATCTTGCTATTAAATTCATGAACATAAAAATGCTTGTAGCCTTTCTATTTCGATAACAAGTGACTAGAACATGAAAACAATATATATATATATATATATATATAATGCAGAGTGTGCGTGTGCGTACGTGTGTGTGTGTGTGTGTGTGTGTGTGTGTGTGTACACATACACATACACGCACACTCTGCATCTTGACCTTTTATATATCAACTTAAAGATTATTAAAAATTCACAACTTTATAATACGCTAAGGTCAAAAATTGTTTTGCATTGAGCTTAGATTAGCCAGAATTGGAAGCACTCAATTCAATTTAGGAAAACTTTGTTTATGCAAATTAAGATCATATTGTTTAGAAAAAACTTAGGGCTTCTTAAATATAACCAAAGAATATCCGCACAAATACGGGGCATGCTTGAGCAACGGGCTCATATTTTTAAGTTAAACCCAAATAATCCTAAAATCTTTTTGTTTAAAAACCAAAAAAGAATGTTTTGAGTCCTAAATTTTTATATTTAATAGTAGAAAATATAAATCTAAAAAAACTATCTACAAGTAATATCCCATTCATAAACCAGATAACAGGGCTATGTCTTAGCCTAGGCCTTTTGTCCTGTCAGATAAGTATAATATAACCATTATAAACGACTTAATCCTTCTCACGAAAAATCCAATGATCAATAGAAGTGTCAGAATTCACAACAGTCAGTGTTAATAGTTGAAAAGTTCACGTTTAAATATTTTTCTCTTTCTCATGCTCCTTCAATAAAGCCAAAAAAAAGAAAAAGAAAAAGTGAAAGAAAAAAGCCTTCACAGCAAGCAGGAAAAGTTTACTAATTTCATTAGGTTCTGTGAGCCCTTTCAGCAGAAAATAATATTTCCACAAACTGGATGTCTCTACTCGTACGACCTTAAGCAAGAAGAGCTCAGGCACCCAACTCCACAAGCGCAAACACCTACTTATAAAAGATCATTACTCAAGGGCATTTGCTAGAACTAGCGGCAGCACATAACATTCGGTTAAACTAGGCTTGCCATAAAAATAAAAATAAAATATGAAAAGAAGAAGAAGAACTCGCCTAAGTATCCAATGTTACTAAAGTATAGCAAACACAATACAACAGGTTACTTAATGAAACAATGTCACAAGTAGTATTCTCGAAGCCTTAGCCAGGTAGAAGCTTTGAGTTCTGGGAATCTAATCTTAGGTGTTGGAACTGGCAGTTGCATCACGCATAGCCCGCTGGAGTTCACTCAAGAAATCCATCTGCCCAGCACTGACAGCAGGAGTCATCATCTGAAGAGAAGACTCCAAGAACTTAGTTTACACCCTAGAGAGAGAGAGAGCTTTTTTTTTCCTTGGAAGGGAACAATGTTACCTGATGAGGAAGTCTAAAGGCTCCCCACGCTGCAGTACTACTCCCGGTGTACATAACAGGCCTTTCTGTCAAAACAAAAATGGAAGGGGGAAGTGGGGCTATCAGTCTAGATCCTACATCAGAAAATCACACATTTTTTACTGTGCAATGGTTCAATTAACAATTATTTTTACAAGATAGAAAAAGGAAAAATGTACAATGCGACCTCCCAGCCTAAAGGACCTCCAAACCTTAGGAGCCACTTCAACTATCTCAGTATGTCATGTAATGATAAAAGAGGGTGATGGACCTGCAACTACAAGCATGCAGACAAACAACTTCACAGTTATCCCAACCAAACACAAAATAAATAGCCAAATGCAAAATCAGGAAAAGAGGTGGCTTCAGTTCCTGTAATATGGTTGCCTCTGGCTTGGTAAATGCTCTTCTATCTGACATTCTACATAATCCAATCATCCATTGATACCATCAAGATTAAGTGGGTTTCAAAGTTCAAATTCCAAAGCATGATGACTCCCAAGTATTACATGGTACAAGCTGATAAGATTCAAATTCCAAAGCATGATGACTCCCAAGTATACATGGTACAGGCTGATAAAAACTTGAGCCAAAAATTAACCAAGCTAGAATAGTGACAGCATCTATTTGAACACTGATACTCGTTTTAAAACTTATAATGTAAAAAGATTGGTGGATTTTGCAAAGGGGATTTGATGGGTTTTGGAAAGTTGTTTCTAAATTAAAAGATCCCGTGCACAAATGATAAAAGCAGTCAAGAGTGAATAAGCATTTGAACAGTTCCCAAGCCCTTCACTCACCAGCTAAACTTGTTGATGGATCATTACATGCATTTATAGCAGCTGTCCAACCTGCATTGGATGATTCAAGGAACAAATGGTTATTGAAGTATTCAATTAACTTCAGTCTAATTTGCCTTATTGTTTTAAAACCATAGTGAATCACCAAAAATTTAGTCCGGTCCTTCCATTGGAACCAGGTTGTTACAATATCAAATTTGACATCAACTAATGTAAGTACCAGCCAAAGCACGTTCACCGCCAGGCAATTGAACAATTATGCTTGTTGAGTAAGTGTTTCTTTCTTTGTTTCCTTTCTTCAGATAATTAAAGAAGTATACTTGTTGGCCAAACTTTGAAATAATAACATTCACATTCTAAGGTGCCTACAATTTTTAGGGATACAACTTCACTGTCAACATAAACATCTGATATTAGAACTGTTAGTGGAGCATATCAATTTATGTTTTGCCCTCAGATATAAGAAAAATTAACTTATAATGGTGCTAATCTAATAGCTTTTACACCTTTTATAGCCATTGATCCACATAGATCAATAGGCTAGTGCCATGCTGTGCCACAATCACTCAGAACTCAGAGACAGCTCTACGGCCATTCATATTCTGTACTGAGGCAAAACAATTCAAAAGCAAAAGTGAGTTCTCACCTTTTGCTGTCTTCAAACCAAGAAAAATAGTTTGAAATGCAGCAGTCAGGTAACATATCACCAATAAGCTTGCAAAACACGACACAAACCACACCCATGACCACCACAGAATACTTCTCCATCCACCCCAACCACTGTGGCCTGCTCTTCTATTTCAGCAAACAGGAGCCCAAACCCTCTTCTCTGCCAACATGGCCATTGCAACTGTAAAAATGCATTTTTATCATTCCAATCAAGCATTGTGCTAGGGCATTTGTTTTCACACTTAGTCCTCCCCTTTCACTCAGCAACTGGGAGCTTAAGCACCACGTCTATCATCCAAGGTCACACTGCCAGCACTTCTATCACCACAACCTGTCAACATTACATGAACATAATGGTTTCAGCTTCTAACTGACACAAATTTTCTGCAACTCCAACTCTGCCACAGCCCATGCTTGTCCACCAATCTACCACTATTGAGTTCTCTCTCACCCTTACCCATCTGTCTCTATTTATCCCTCTCACCCAATATCCAGGGCAAACATCACCATAATATCGTGTCCAGTTGATATTCCAACTAACTTCTCAACCACAACTCAACTCCAACCCCTTAATCCAGTTTTCAATGCTTCACAGGCAATATTCCAGCAGGCACAGAAAAGCTTCAACAATTGTAACTTGAATCAGATTAATTATAAGGCATTTTTCACTAGGATCTTGCCACACTATTTTTCATTTGCACATCCAAGTGCAAGGAAAATGGACTAGATCCGCCCTTGGAAAACCACTAGATCTTTGACACAATAAAAGGGCTTAGAAGGGCATGAAAGAAATTGTTTTACACAGGATAATTTGGACCTATGCCTTCATTTTTGAAACATGATTGCCATGCTGCATCAGAATTTTTACTTAAAAACTAGTAATGCATCATTTGATATTATTTATCCTAATTGATGTACTAGTTTTACTAATTAAGTAATTAAGCATCATATATGTATATCAACAAAGGACCTAAAGGGCTGTCACCAAAAGTCTCAAGTACAACTAGCACATTAAGCAGGAACATAAGTCCTATAACAGGATTCCAAATAGATCAAATTCTCAAGTAATCACCACAGCCACCTCCAATTAACAACTCTATGATAGATGAAATGTATCAAAAAGATGGTCCTTTGACTCCAAAACATCATAATCTTCAAAATGTGATGTACGCCAGCTACCCTGGCTCACATAATATTCCAAGTTGGAATATCATATATTATCCTACTGTAGACGTGAAGGAGAAAGGAAATAAGTGTTCTTCAACTAGCTGCTGCCCATGCCTAAACTGATATTATTCTCACATGATTTTATCATTTGCCTATATATGGAAGCCTTTCCCCGGGATAGTACCAGAAGTAACAAAATACCGTGCAGGATTATCAAATATCAATTAAACATAAAAGAATTATGTAAAAAAATTGTAATGCAAACATACGTTCATTCATGAGCTGAAAAGCATCGCTTTTACAACACAAATGCATGGGAATTAGCCCTGGACGAGGGTTCTCATTAACAAGATTGCTCCCAGTTACATCTCCATGATCAGTGATGGGCATATTTCTTGAGGTAGCAACTTGACTCTTTTCTGCTTCATTGGTGTAATTGTTGATCATTCGATCAATTCTATCTGCAAAATGAACTCGCATCCTTTAGCGTACGAAGATGAAATCATTTTTGCACATGTAATGGTTACACAGAATGCAACTACTTTTGGCAGTTAGTAGCAAACATGAACTTGCATCCACAACAAAGCACATATTTTTGGGACACAGCTCCAATCATTCTGACTGGACTTCTCCCAATTTCTGCATTCACAGGTCCAATCGTAGATAGTCTAGGAAGCAAGAACATTCCCATGTCCATTTCCAAGTCATGCCTATGTCCAACACACCCCTTACATGCTGAGAACTGTTTCAGAAGTACCAAGCAGTTTCTGTCTCAAAGCACATTTTTAGGAACAAAAACATGCATGTCTGTTTATCAAAAAGCATTAACTGCCACTATAGTTTCATGAAAGTAATATGTAACTATAAATATAATTTAGGCAGCAAATGATGCAATTACTCTCGTGAACATAATGATTGTTTTCATCCATGTTAAATAGTATTCAATTCAGAGGAAATAATCTTACTATTTTGTACTTTTTTATGGATATTAAAGTTGGAAGACCTACAGAAGTTGATTGACATCCTAAATATGTGGAGACTAAACCAATCATAATAACAGTACGATACAGAAAGTTTACTACCTAGCCTAATATGAATAGCATTCTTTCACCTAAACCCATACACGGAGCAAGCTCTTTTTACCCAATCAGCATGTGAATATAATTTTAAATATTGTAACAGAACAATGAAAACACTATCATGTTTACAGGGAAATAAAGTTATTCTAAACAGAAGGGGGAGGAGTAAATGCACTTATTTCTGAAGGATATGCGTAGTGGATGACTAATTAGAAAATAAATGTACGAGGGAGGACGAAGAAATGAACCTCAGATCAGCAAATGTTTGACATACAATGTCATATACCAAATTCAAAAATAAAGTAATCAAATAGAGTGAACTCCAACCAACATCATCCTTAAAGCAGAGAACTTCATAGCTTCAAAGCAAAGAGTATCTCAGAATTTCAACACATGACATCTGCCGATTTGCATGCCTTGAGATCTTTAATGGGATTACTTATACAAGGTAGGCATTAAACATCCATGCATTTAAAGCTCCATCTAACTCTTGTTTCACATACACGTAAAGGATGAGGGATCAACAAACCACATTTCGTCCATTTTCATATAATCGTAACGGACGAGGGGCAAACTTCCCACGTTTGATCAAATTTTGAATACAAATTTCCAATAATTATTTTGTTAACCTCAAAAGAAGAAGAAGTCATAATTTATAACTAATAAAGACATCCGAGACACAAAAGAAAGAAAATGAAGTAACCTCTAAGGTCGGATTATAGAGTTCTAACAGTTACGCATAATAATCAAGGTAAGGACAGTTAACTTGTTCAGCCAAAAATACATACATATACATGCAAACAAATGTCTAAAACGTATATAGAGTTATCTCTCGGCATGCAACAGAAATAACGCCACTTTTACTAACCTCCTCCTGATTTGCGCCTGCCGAGAGGACGGTTCCTGCGTTTTATGGATTTAAATCTCCCAATTAGAATTAACTAATCCATTAATGACAATCAATTTCAAATTGATCGAAACAGAGAGGGAAATACCTCTGATTGGGGGGAGCATAGCGTTTGATTGTGGTGACATTGGCCGTGGAGGGGGAGTCGGTAGGGTTTTCGGGCATTATTGTTCTCTCCACAACACCTCCACCTCCTGGAATAGAAATACGTTGGTACTGAAGCTGAACTCCTCAGCTGAAAAGCATGGGAAGCAACTTACCTTTGGTAGGGTTTTAGAGTCTCAGGCCCTGCGATTTCACGCTTGCCACCATTGCTGTTCCCCTTTCCCCCAAATTGTAGAGCGAGACAGAGCAGAGAGAGATTTGGCGATATTTTTTTCAGGCTGCTTGGGGACGAGAAGGACAACCACGCGCCTCCGTAGGGCTTGTTACTCTTGTCTGCGGTGATTATAATTTGCTAATTGCTGTCCAATAAATATTTCTTTTGGGTCGATTAGTCTTATTATTACGAATTTGTGGCCTCTTTTTGAAAAAAAATTAATTTACGGTCCATAATTATAGGCCAATGCTATGTATTTTACTTAACTCTCAGTCCCAGAGATCTATAAATTTTCAATTAAACTAATTATAATTCACTAAAGTCAATCTTAATAAAACTATTCCACAAACTTTCACTTTTTATATAATTTATATTTATATATATACACACACACATATATGTCAATAAAATATCATTCAATAATATTGTGATACATAAATAATGTAATATATATTTTTATTACATTAAATTTATATTTGTACATATATATTTAATATTTCTATAGAGTATAAACTTTATCTTATTTGATCCGTCGTACAAAGTAATATTGTAATATTAATTTTATTTAAAAATTAAAATTTAGTTTAATTACCCATAAATCTCAACTTCAACAAAGAATTAGAATATTATGTTTACTTTAGTGTAGCCTAAACATTGAACAAATATTTAATTAGTTTTTTATCTTGAAATAAATTATATTTAATTAATAGATAATGTATTTATATAATAATTTCATATAATTAAGAAAATAGTTGAAAACTTAGTTGAACTGAAATAAAGTATGAACATATTTAAAAATAGAATAAATGTATAAGATTAAAGAATCCATTGTAGAAATTTGGATACTTTAGTAAAGTAATACATGGGTTAACAATTGTCACAAATTTAATAAAATGAATAATTAGTACCTTAAATTATAAAAACTTGCAAACACACCCCCACTCGAGTGGTACCGAATAATTAGAAAGCATGGGGGCGGGTTGCAATTTATGTAGATCATTTGTGCACTGTTTCGCCGCGGCGCCAGAATTCAAGCCCCCCGGCGAGGTTCCCTGCTCCTCCCAACCTCTCTCGCTCGCCTTGCAAGGGTTTGATTGCACTGGAGTTGCATCCAGAAGACCGGAAGTCAAAGCGGAGCAATGGCGGGCAAAGAGGACCGAAGACCCCCTAGACGACTTTCCCTGAAAGCCTCGTTCTCTTCTGACAATCATTCAAATTGGAAAGACAAGGTACGCATCTACCTTGTACAATTTATACATCATAAGACACGAATTGTATGTAATTCTGTTTGTTTTCCAAAATTCGGTTTGCCAGGGTGGGTACTGGGTTCGTTGTGTTCCCCAACCCTATTTCGCGTTTTAATTCCGGTTTGTGAAGTTTTATCACGTGAATTTCGAGTTAGCAGCATTAATTTATGCGAATTAAAGGAAACTATTTCTATTTTTGTTTTGCGTCTATTATCCATGCTGAGGTTGTCAACGAATTTGATGCTTTTTGTTGTCTTTTGTATGTGCAGTTGAGAGATAGTTGTTACAAGAGGGTGCAAGAGGATCGAGCTCGCTTGCTTTGGAAATTGAGGTTACCGGAGTCTAAAGATAAATGCTTCAGTGAGAAGGTTCTTTCAGTAACACTCTACTGTCTTGTTACCTTGAGTTAACTAGTTTTACATGTTGGTTAGAAGATACAGGAAGACTCATTAGAAGAGAACCTGAATAGCTAAAAAATCAGGATATACTGATTCTGTGCAAAAGGGGTGACTCAACTAATTGGTATAATCTGTAATTTTCCTGGATTAAGACAAATGGTATTAGAGTGATTTCCTTTTATAATTACATCATGTTTGATCACGCTTCCCACCGACCCTTAGTCTGCCAGGTTTTTGAGCATTTGATATAATGAACTTGACAAACCACACCAACTGGGAGGACTCTATTGGGCACTGGATGAGAGGTCAGTGATTTCCATTGGTTAGGTTATCAGTGTGAGATTGTTGTTGAACGTAAGAACACAAATAAACAACCACTCAAACAACTTAAACATCCTACAGGTAGTAGTTTTTGGGGCTCAAACTTCTGCAACATGATGTTCTTCTCTATCACTTACCCCCCCCCCCCCCCCCGGGGTTTTTCTCTCATAATGAAAGAGATATTTTCACTACCTGCATCTATGTTTCTGTTTTTTTAATTAATTATTATTATTTTCAACATAGAATTACATGTGTGTGAGATATAACCTTTTGTTAGCCAACTTGAGAGATTTAATTCTCTTGATTAATGGGACTTAAAAATCATATAGCCTTTTACTTGTCATTTAGTTATGCTTTCAATTTGGCTTTTGTTTCTCAGCATGTGATGATGTCATTTAAGGAAAGAAGGAAAGGGTTAATTTCCATCCCTATTTTCTCCTTGCAGGAGTTCATCAGAACAACTTTTCAGAATATAGTTGCTGATGAGTTTAGAAAAATTAAAGATTTATCAATGGATGAACATTATGGTGCTCTAAATTCCACGTCAAATGTAGATGATGCATTATGGGAATACAATGGTCTTCAAACTGCTTATCAAGGAGATTGTGAAGAGATATTACTAGAAATGCAGAGGATTTTTTACGAGGATCTTAAAAAAGGACCTACTACAAGAGGCAAATCAGGTTATACCTTTGTGAAGTATTGCATTCTATTATTTACATCATGGTTTATGGATAACAACATTGGCCTACTGAGGTCCTGCCTGTCCGGTGAATCAATGGTGAAGATATTGATACTTGAAATGAGATACTGAACTTTTTAATACCCATACAGTTAGCTATTTCCTCATTCACCCCTTCTGAAGTGGCTTTATGCATCTTTTCCTTTTGTTTTGGTCATATTGGCCTTTTTAAACTCATACATTCACTTTGGCTCCTTCCAGAACCAGAAACCAATATCAGAACTTGGGAAGATGAAGAAGATGAGTACTTGGCCTGTGCAGTTTTTGAGCATATGAAGTTGAATGATCACCAGGTATGTATTGTGAACAAGGATTCTTTGAAGAGTCAAACATGTTTATAACATGTATGCATGCTTAGATTAAAGGCAATAATAATTTTTCAAAGAATATATGTGCAATGTAAAAAGTGGTGCAAAATATTCTTCATTGGGAAGAGCAATGAGTACAGCTCAATTGATGTGGTTAGTGGCTGCACCATTTTCTTGTAGCCTAACTTTGGTCCAATATTCTGAGAAATTCCTATATGTCAGTTGGCTTTACGCGTCCATGTTTCCTGCTGATAGGCAAGTGAAGTGGGCCCTCACTTGGGACCCTGGATTGTTCTTATTTCTGAATTGTGGCTTAGCAGTTCACTACATGGTTTCTAACTGCTGGATGTGCCACATGCATTGCTACAAGACAAAAATGGATTCTAATTTGACTGCCTCAAGTACCTTCAATTATAGAATGAGTCTCATATAAATTGCCACTGCTGTTTTGCAACTTGTGAATGATTTAACTGACTTTTCTTGCAATTGCAATATTAGTTTGCGTCTGTTTGTGACATTCTGTTGTAATCTAATGTTTGTACTAGGAGCACAAGGTGATATGGTGCCCCATTTGCAGGCAGGGAGAATTGCAAGAGAAACGATTGCTGATTTCTTGCACTTCTTGTGAATTTAAACTTGACAAGGGCAATGAGGTATTCTTTCTTTTGACATCTATTTCCTATTTCCACATTTGGAGATTTCTTGTGGTAGTTTGGTATATTTTTAAGGTGGTTAAATTATTTTATGATTGTCAAGTATAAATCTTACAACATGGAGATATTGAATCATAATATTGCATGAATGTACTATAGTATGGCATTGCCATGCAAGTGGTACGCAGGAGTTTGAGGTTCAGATTCAGGGGTTTGATTGGAAGGGTAGTGGTGTAAATAATTTTCAGGGAACTTAACAATGCTTTCAACCTGGGACCACTATTAAGCAAGCTAATGGGTTTTACAGAGAAGCTCCTCTTTATTTTAAAAGGTTTTCATAGTTATCCGTGTGCTTTTTATGATAGTTTCTTTTATTTTCTTCTGCTTTTTGTATTTTAGTAGGAACCTTGGCTGCACATCTAATAGTTGTATATCCGAAATACAGCTTTGACTAAGCAAGATCATGCTATTTACGTATGGTACAAATATTTTTTTAATCATTTTTTTGGTTCTTCTCCCGGTGGATAAACATTGGTCACTGTATTTTACATATGTACATATATGAGGTCACCTAATGGGGAATGTTTGGCTGACTAGCCATTTCCATTACTTATATTAGGTTACTTTGGACGTGTTGAAGACTCGGCTGGCAGAAGCTTATGCAGAACATCTTGATAGAGGTTGCAGACTCAAACCCAAGTTCTGCATGAAGTCTAGCTTTGATCTAACAGTTCTGTACATTGAGTGCCAAGGTTGCGATACTTTGGAAGTTGTAATATAATCTATTTGGTTCCAAAGTTTATGGTTTGAAAAAAAAAGTGGTGAAAAAGAAATGTACTTTTATAGATGACCTACACACCCCCTGCCTGATCTTTCAGCTCAGTTGATTTGCCCACTTCAACTCAATCTTTCTTTGAACATACAAATTCATCTGACAGTAGCATAATTTTGTTTAGTTAGCTATATGTTGTAGATGGATTTACTGTTTCCATAAAATATCGCGTTGTGGTTCAACTCTCTCTCTCTCTCTCTCTCTCTCTCTCTCTGTGAACTTGGCATCATTAGTTTATAGATAGTTTTTGAAAATTCTGTATCAAGACATTTTGCATTTGGAAGTACAGCTAGCAAACCATGCTTCCAGCATATGGACTGCATTATCCTCAAATTATTTTTGGTGGCTTCGGCAATTTTTTTTTTCCCGACTGTTAAGCATCATTTTAAGTTTGGACTGAATTATCCTCCAATTATTTTTGGTGGCTTCGGCAAATTTCCTTCGATTGTTAAGCATCATTTTACATAAGAGAAAGGGCGGACCTAAGCGATTTAAACCAAAACCAGGAAGCGGGATCCAGGACTTGAAATGTGTATATACGAGAAATCCGTGTAAAATTCTCAATTCAACACATACAGATTCATTTAATAATCTCACCTTGGTAAACATTTCATTCCTTATCCAACTGATCAGCCCTCTCGACCACAAACAAAAGAGACAAAGGGGGAGTAGAGGGCAAAGAATCATAAAGGAGGGGAATAAAAATCTCAAGCCCATGAGTTGGGTGAACAAATTTGGCAAAACACATGTAGGGAGATGTTCAAACAATACTACTCTACACAGCTCATACACGCGAGCTTGCATTTACCTGTATATTATCTTCAGTTGAAATCAATTTTTACAGCCCCGTGGGTATTTTTCTGTTATGGCATCTCAAAGCTGATGTGAATCTCCTTTTGGCAGCCCATGTATTGCAAAATCAGCCGCAGCAGAAATACAAAATATCTTCTGGAACAGTCGTGAAATTCATGGCCCAGAATAATGGTACACTTTCCTCAAAGCAATTTTCAGCACAAAAGTTGTAATAAAATTCAAAAGAGCTCCTCTGAATTAAACTTGTTCCAAGCCTCCTAATTACCAGATAAAATAACATTACGTGGCTTATCAATTTGACCAAGGAAGGAGGTGAAGATGAAGAAGATGACTAGAAATACGAAAGGGAAGAATACTACCAACTACAGTGTTCTAGACATAAAGCACATGATTACATTATATTTTCATTCATCTGAAACCCAGGAAGTAGCACGAGAGGAAAAGGAAATGGGAAGAAGGATATGTAAGTGCAGTGATCTAAGCATAAAGAACACCAATTATATTATATTTTTCATTCCTACAATACCCGCTTAAGTGATTAAACTTGAAGATATTCATTCTTCCAATAACATAAGAGATTCTAAAAATCATTTTGAATTTTTAAGACATTTTCTAATTCCCTATTCATTAACACTAAACATATATTTAGAATATTAAAAAAAAGGAATTAAACCACAACGCCAGCTTCAAAAAATAGCATGTAAAATTGCTCAGGATCACAAGTACCTTAAGAAGGTCAAAAACCTTTTCAGCAATGTATTTTTGTTGAAGAGTGGCACCTTTTTGTTGCACCTTATCTGGATGGATGCATAAAGTTGCCTTTCTATAAACTTTTTTGACTGCAGCACCAGTAATCAAATCCATCAAAGAAACAGGCTGCCAACCGCATTGGGGCCATAATACCTGATCACATTTAACACAGAGAGAATAATCATTTGCACATTTACTGTCAAACAGAAAAAAGCAAGAAAAGATTAGAAAACTCAAAAGCAGAAAGACAAAAAATTTATTGTTTTAAATCACGTGTAACAACACATAATTCGCTGGGATATAAGCATTATCTGGTAATATAGATTTGGTTCTCTCTCTAATCCCAGTCAAGCCACAGGCAAGCCCAGAGTGGGCAGTTGGGTGCTATGATGAATGATTCCAACTCCTAGCCATACTAACCACTTAAATCCAGTTGATCCCACTCATGGAGGCATTCTAGAAACATGGAGTGTCCTAGGACATTGCTGTCCTAACTGTAGCAAGTGGAATGCCGATACCTTAGAGGATATTGGTGATGCCTGACCATGAGATGAGATTGGCAGCACCAGGCGGGGTGCCAACACCTAAGAGAGGCTTGATCCTTAAAGCAGTTCAAGCCTTAGCGAGGATAAAGTAGCCTCTCATAAAAAAGGGTTGAGTAGGTGCTAACCATGAAAATCATGTTCCGTGAAGAGTGTCTGAATGGTGTCTGCCTTGAGCATGTTCCTTTGGAGCTTAGGCTCCCCGTTATTGGAGTGGCAAGGATCCACTCAATATGGAGCCAAAAAGTGACCTTAAAGACCATATTGCTTGAGAAAGCTTGTACTTTGAGGAGGTGAAGCTCCAAGCTCATTATCCCCTACCATGAATCACTCTTAAAGGGACAAGTGTTCTGGTGCCCTAACTAAGAAAGTTTCATATTCCTCAAGTTAGGTGGAGTGGAGGAGTGACCTGGTGTCCTGGCAAGGCTAACATCAATCTCCTAGTTAGCAGAGGGATAGTAAGCTTGTTACCACAATGAGGATAGAACCAAATCTCTAAAGCCGAGAGAAAACCCCCTTTGCTTGGCCGATTATGTAGCATTCAAGTGCTCCAATGAGGCTAGCATTGAAGCTCCATAAGATGATGTGGTGCCATGCAGTGTGCAGGCATGTGGCCTGACATGGTGATGTTGTTTCTAGTGCCTAGACTCACAAAAGCCACTACCAGCCTTTCTTTAAAATAAAAAGAGAGAGAGAGAGAGCGAGAAAGAGAAAAAGAAATCCCCTTTGCCTCTAATAATATGCAACCACTTACAATAGAATACAACAAAGTTTATATCCATACTGCAGACCAGAGATGAGGCCAGAGGGCCTTGCGGGGCCGTGGCCCCCACTAGGCTTCAAAATTTGCACATGGCCCCCTTATTTCTATCACACTTTTTTTGGTAAGATAAAAGTTTGGCACCCATAAATTCCAAAAAAATTATCAATATTATGTTATATAGTACATGGGCCCTCAGTAGACCATGATTAACCACTTAATCTAATGTCTTACATTGTGTTTTGGAAAAACAATACTGAAATAAAAACAACGTATCCTCAAAGCACTAGTGCGCCTAGCATGTTTCTACTTCCTTTTCTTTTTTCCTCAATGCCCCTAGAAGTGACAAAAACTTCACAAATACTACAAAGCAGAAGCAGCTTGATCTTAGATCGGCAGTTAGCAACCACAAATCTTACTCCCTCAATTTCGTTTTGTATGGCCAGGGTTGACAACACAGTCTTAGGAAAGCATGCTTCAAAAAATAATAATAATAATTACACAAAGTTCCTACTGTCCTTGCTTGAATAATTTTATTGGGATACTAAAATTTACTTGCATGCAAATCTCAAGATGAATGACATGGGAAAGTGATGACAAATTCTCTCTCTTTTTTTAAAAAAAAAAATTATATATATATATATATATAAATACATTGATCTGAGACTAATCTAATGGAAAGCAAGACTCATTCAAGGACATAAAGAGTATATCAGTCCATTTGGTTTCAACAAAAAATTTTATCTCCAAAATCATAAATCTGAAATTTTCAGTTAAAACCTGAAAAAAAATATAAGATTATTAATAACTAGACTGGCTTTATTGTCACACAGCACAAGAGGATTATAGCCAGACTCACATATTGCAAAGTTGACAGCAGTGCACGTAGATTTCCCTCTTTCCCTGCAGCCCAACGCTTGATTTCAACATCTAATGTTTCAGCAATCCTCTGAAATCATGAGCAGCTCAAAATCAGATATCTTAAACAACGTAAGTTGATAATAGAGAAGTTTTCAAGTCGAGAAGGTGCAAAATAATCTGAAGTACATTATATGCCAGCATCCTGTATCAACTACCAGAAGGTTGATAACAATGATAAAGAACCCAAGATAATATGTATGACAATTGTCAACCTCCCATTTGTGATTAGAAATCAAGTTCTACTCCTTAGAAAGGGGAGTAATGTGGCCTTCTTTAGGAGGTGAGGGAATTCTTCAACTTAATTATCACATGAATCTTTCTTCTTCAGAACTAACAATTTAATTCATTGCTCTATATGTGGATGTGACCACTTTCATCACAATTGTAAGCATAAGAAATACTATATTAATTCACTGACTTAACAACAGAAATCTCAATTGCAATTCATAAGTAAATATAATAAGATATTAAATAATTATAACCAATGACTTATTAACTATTAAACAGCCTGAGAAAATTTACAGTCAAGCCCAGGTTTCTCCGATAATCTGATCAAGGTTTAAGTGAATAACGGATGTTTTAGCTGGTTGGGTATTTAAGTTCAAACTTGTTTGTATCTATATACTCCTAATACAGAATTAAGCATTCCTATAAGTCATTAATAACAGTAATTATAGTTTTATCATCCATACAACTAGTTTGGTTTCCAACATCATGTATTAGGAAAGAATTAATTAATTGTTGGAAATACAGAAATAGGCATACTTTACATAAGCAATGCCATATTGCCACCACACAGAAATTACTGGGTTCTCCTTTGGCAGTTTACTTTCAGGCCAAGGATTCACAATGTTCTCAAAAGGGCCAAGGACCTTTGCTGTTGTGGTTGATCATGGGAGATGATATCCTTTAACCAAGTTAACTTGGTATAATATGGTTTTCCCCACAAATGCCATTGAATAAATATATTGCCAATGGTCCTACTGAAAAAGGCTCCAATAATGACAGTTACGACAATATAAGATGCACCGAGCCTTACATATGAAGATAAAAGTAAGTTTCCAGTAGTGATTGCTTATGTTTAAATTGAAAGGGTTTAATTGCCCATATTTCTCTTAAAATTCAGAGGAATCCAATTTCTCTGCAAATTCTCAACAAATCTCTTCCTCCCACTCCCCATGTCCCCTGGCACTTTCTCAAATTTGAATTTTCTGGCTCTTGCAAAACTGATAGGTAGACATAAGGATTTTGACCGCAAGAAAGAAATTGGATAATTATTTAGGCAGGAGATGAAATAAACTCAGAGAAACCATAGTTTGTTATCCAAGCAACATATGTGTTTGCTACTTAGAAGGCAAATTTAATGTCCAAATACCAAATAAAATCCCAGTACAACTCAAGCAATCGTACGAGTTTAGTGGTATAATACATCTATGTGTGTGTGTGTGTTGGGGGGGGGGGGGGGGGGGAAGGGAGTAAAATTATTGAAAGAATCAGTTTCTTTTCTTTTTTAATTTAATAAAAAAAGTCAGAAGGTTGTTTCTAAGAAATATACAGAAGCCAGTAGTGGACTGTTGCTATTGGGACAGCCAGCCCAGTCGTCAGAACAATTAGTAGTAGACAAAGGCTATGAAAATAGAGGTATGGGAGCAAGATTGCAGCATTGGAAATTTTGGCTGTACATTAAGAGGCCAGGAGAAGGATGAATGAACAATATTATATTATGTTACCCTATTGATATTGCATAAATGAAAGGTAAAAGGTAAGGCATTTTTATGACAATTTCAACTGAGGACATGTTCACAATACAAATGGTACTCACATGTCTTTCCTCTTGTTCTTTCTGAATTTGAAGGTCACGCTGATTCTTTTCAGCCAGAGCTTTAGCCTGAACAAATGCATAAATTAAATCTGAGAACTGAAGAGCATAGAATGAGAAAGAGCAAACACATTATCTCCCAAAGGAAGAGTAGACAACAAACCATTCCTTGTGCTAGAAACTATGAGGCTATATATACAGCCAAAGCAAGCTTGGTGTTTACCAGAATCCATGGCTAGTTGCACAATGTACAACCATTCCAAGCAAAAATTATTTTTGGCAAAAGCCTAACTTACTTCAGCAACAGTGAAGGAAAATTCAGAAACATCTTGGGGCAAGTAATACATACCGCACGCTCCTGGGTCCTCTGCTGTCGTTCTAATCTTGCCCTTCTTCTTTCTTCACTTTCTCCTTCGACTTCCTGGAATTCTCCAGATGAAGCAGCTTTTGCAAGCAAAACCATTCCACAAATTAGTACAGTGAATGAAGAAAGAGATAAATGGTAATACAATCACCAACAAAATATTACCTCCAAAAATTGAAGTGAGATCGTCAACAATATTAGCAGTTGAAGATGCTTTTCTCATATTAGATGAGGTACTGACAGATGATGTCCTCCTTGCCTCTTCAGCAGCTCCCTTACTCTGAAATAAGGAATCCATCATAGGGTCCTGAAATTGCAGGGGGGAAAAAAGTCATGCCCGGTGAACGAATATCATACCAAAGAAAATATAGTGCACTTTTGAAAGCTTTAGCCACTCACAGTAGTAGCTCTTGGTCTCGGTGCACTGCTTGCTCGACCCATGCTGAAAAATGATTCAAGATCATTATCGTTCTGTTGTTGGTTCATCCTTGCAGCAGCGGCAGCAGCAGTGGCTGCGGCAGCCCTTTCCCGGGCATCAGCAGCAGCCCTTTCTCGAGCCTCCGCTGCAGCTCTTTCCACGGCAGCCCGTTCTGCCCTACGTCTTGCTTCAGCTTCTGCTCTAGCAGCAGCAGCAGCAGCCTTCTCCCTGGCTTCTTTCTCCCTTGATTCTGCATATGCCCTTTCCCTAGCTTCTGCAGCAGCCTTCTCTGCTCTTTCTCTAGCTTCAGCCGCTGCCCTTTCACGAGCTTCAGCTTGTGCTCTCTGAACAGCAGCCCTTTCTGCACGTTCTCGAGCTTCAGCTTGTACCCTCTCAACAGCAGCTCTTTGAGCTTTTAATCGTGCTTCAGCAGCAGCCCTTTCCCGTGCCTCGGCAGCTGCTCTCTCCCGTGCTTCTCTGGTTGCCCTTTCCACAGCCTGTCTCGCCTTCACCCTTTCCCTCTCTCTCTCAATCCTCCTCTGTTCTCTCTCTTCCTCCTCCCTCAGTTGCCTTTCCTGATCTAATTTCTCCTGCTTTTCTCTATATTCTCTTTCTTGATCATCTCGTATTGCATGTTCATCTTTTTCTAGATGTACAGGCTCTTTTGTTCTAGCAGTTTTTGTACACTCTCTTTCCCTAACTTCTTTTGCATGCCTGAATTTTGCCTCAGCTCTGTCCATAGCTTCCTTCATGGCAGCCGCAGAAGCAGCAGCAGAGGAGTATGCATATACTTCTTCACCAGAATTGATACCAGTATACTCCTCAAAATTATTGGTAGTCATACCCATGGCGAATTCCTCAAGTTCATCAAATTGAGAACCAATTGGAGGTTGCATTGACTTAGAGTTTTGAGAGTATTGAGTGGAACTAGGTGAAGGAACAAAATCATTACTCATCTTCTTTGAATTTGAATCGAAAACTCCTGCTTCTGACATTGATGCTCTAGCTGGTATTGGTGGAGGAGGTCTCGAAGGCGGTGGAGCACTTGTGGGTTGTGTAAAAAGAGGAATTTCTGACACGATTAGCCATACATCATTGGATGGTTCCTTGTGTTCATCAGATTCTGGAGGCACGCCTACCTGGCAATTGATCTCAGTAGATTTATTGTCCGTACAGGAAGATGAAGCATTTTGACCAACAGACCTACGAGACTCGGCTGGAAAACTAGGCATGTCAAACACAGGTTGATGAGATTCATGTAACTTTTCATCATGCATCTTCTTTGAGTGACTCTCAGTATCCTTGAAAGATGATCTCCCAATAGGTTCAGTATTCGCAGAGGTTTGTGCTCCACCCATGCTTGATGCAGTCCTAGAAGGGCTCCCCTCCTTCACCCTGTTATTCATCTCAGATGAAAATGCGTGAGCAGGTTTTCTAAAGCTATCCAAGGGATCTATATCATCAAATATGCCACCGTTAACTGATGGACCATTGACATTTTTATTCTCATAATTACCAAGCTTGCTGATCTCTTCCAGTGGATCAGTGAACAGCCCGAAGGATGAAACAGCAGGGGTTGAAGTTGACTCCAAAACAACAAAAGGATTTTCTATCACATGAGAAGTTGACGCCCCTGAATTAACAGTTGTTTTTTCTGCCTGACTATGCTCTGGGATAGGCCTGTGCAACAAACATGTAGCTAAGATACTAATCAACTGGTAACAGCACATATATTTTAGTAATTATTGGTAATCCAATCCAATCATCTCAAATGCATTATTCCAACAGGCTCCTAGTTTTGCCAAGTCTCCTGGATATTGTTTCCTAACATTTCAATTATTATTCCAAAATGTGATGTTTGAACTTCAAAGTTTTAAACAGGTAAAAAGCCTGAGGTGAGCATATCTTTCTCATGCATGGCAAAGTTTATGAATAAGATGATAACTACATTTGCTAGGATATCTCTTGTTAATAATTAGATAATGATGTAGAATAGTTAAGTCCTATGGGACCTTTGCCAACATGCATCATGGACCAACTTCACCCATTATCGAATTCAATTCAAAGGTTCAAAGAAAGGTGGAAGGGGAAGGATTAATTTGATGGTTTGTCACTTCCCCATGAACCTGCATAGTGTTTATTCCTTATTAGAATCATAGAACTAATAACATTGAATATACTCTTCAAAAGGACATTATGCATTCCCCCAAGGCTTGTACTTTCATGATCTCCCAACTTAGTGCATTTTTGTTCACTATTACTATCTAATCAACAATCCAAGTGGTCAGAACACATTTACCAGTAAAGCAGAATAAGTCCTCATATAAGCTTTGCCACATTGGTATGCATTTGGAAACTAACAGAGGTATTAGGTTATAACTCCCGAAAGCCAATCATAAGCACACTCAGAACTATGCGAGAATGCATGCATATAAAAGAGAATCCGCCAAAACTTACTGATCACACAAAATGTGCACCAGTGCTAAAGCTCTGCAAGCCACAAAGCACAAACTTAAGGATATAACTCCACATACCCAGTAGTCTCTTTTGTAACTGCATCAGACTTGAATGCATAAAGCTATGACAGATATTAAAGATGTGAGTGCTAAAGAGATAAAAAATAAACCATTCACGGTCTAAGTTCATGATATTATACAGCCAGTTGCAGGCAATATGGTTCATTCAAGTGTTCTATCATTTATATGAGTTTTAAATAGTAACAGACATTCTATGGTAGTACTAAAATTCTAGTTTTATTTTACTTGCAAAATAATGCCAAGATTTAATTAGATATATTGCATGCACGTTTTTCACTTATAGTCAAGAAGACACAATTTTTCTAAATAGGTCATTCTGCTGAACCACACTGTTAGTAGACAAAATGAGTATACGGTAATTTTTTTGTCATAGCATAAAATATAAAAATCTAATTTATGAAAGTCCAATTTCAAATAAAAGCAGACATTATAAGCTTTTGAAAACCATATAATTTATTATTTTTGGTTAAAAATTCAAATCTCTAGCTAATTTTGAAATTGACTAACAAATTCTGACAAAAGCAGGTTTTTAGTCTGATATTCTAAACCACAACAAGCATTTAATATCACTAGATGCGCATTTAAATTTCAATCCCATAGTTTTTGTAGCTTGCTTGATTTCATATTGTAAAGAGTCATGGGTTTTAAATTTATTTCTGAAAAAAAAAGGTTGGAAGATACATTTAAAGCCCTAGAGAATGTCCATCTTGCAACTTAATTATGTCCTTCAGCTAAAATATATTGGCAAAAATACAAACCTAACTAATCTTACATACTAAACAAACAATTCTATACTCTGAAATACTAACTAGATTATCTGTAAGGATTCAACCCAATACCAGATACTTCACATAATATATAAACAGAATAATATTTTCAAACACAACTTATGATAGGCTTTTGGATCACATCGAGTTAATGGAATGTCAGAAAGCAGGTGCACTACCTGTCACTCCCTGTGGGACTGCTGCCCCCAAACCCGGGTAGTAGATCATCAAAACCTCTTGAACTATTGTTACTCTTCAGCTCAGACTTCTCTGTCCGGCCTAAATTCACAAAAAGATCATCAAATGGAGCACTTTGTTTCTGATTCACATTTGACTGAGAAGAAATGCTCGTAAACACATCCTCATCGTATCTAAGGGAGGAAGAAGTCGATTTACTCTTCAACCCGGGCAAGCCATCGAAAATGTCTTCGTCATAGACAGGTTTATCGTATACCGGCGATGAAGACCTGTTCTTTGCATCGTTGCCCGAAGTCGATGAACCCTTGAAAATCGAATCGTATTCGAAATCCGACACCGAAGATGCCGATTTACTGTTTTTGTCGCTCGTGTGTTTCGGAGGTCCACCAAAAACATCGTTGAACAATAATCCATCTCGATTGTGATCGAACGGAGATGATGTCGACGATGATCGAGCACAGCGATCCATACCCTGCGATCCGATTCCCGCGTTCGCTTTCTGCGGCGCCATTGGAGCTGATTTCCCTTGGGGCTTGAAGCCAAAGTCCCTGGCTAACACGCCAAAGTCGTCCATTGATGAACTTCTGCTTCGCCTTTCCGTTACTTACAAATTTGATTTGCCTTTGGATCTTAAATGTGGTTCCGAATCGGATCTAGGTCGAACTTCCTTCCGTGGAGCAGCAACTCTGGACAGTGGACCGAAAAGGAATAAAAAGATGAACAGTGGCGTTGTCTAGGGATTGAATGGTGGCAAGGATTGACGATCTGAAGAGAGAGAGAAGAAGACGAAATTGGGAATTCACGGAAGCTGCTGCACCATATTATGAAGGAGACCTCTGAAGGTGTCCCAGGCGTGTAAGCCCACTGTCTCTCCTCTCGAACCTGGTCTTCTTCTTTCTGTTCTGTCTCCAAGCTCGCCATTTTTTCCTAGTTTAATTTTCGTTTATTTACGTACAAAACCTGAATTTTTATGATTTTACATGCCAACCTCTATAGTTCTCGGTAATTATTTTGGAGTTCCTTTTTTTTCCGTGTTTGATTTTTGTTTATTTACGTACAAATCCTGAATTTTTATGATTTTCTATGCCAACCTCTATGGTCCTAGATAATTATTTTGAAGTTTTTTTTTTTTTTGTATTGGGCCATCTTAATTTGACACCAGGCTTAGCAAAAATTTGTTCGTCACTCGGCTTATTAAGTGAAAATTAGACATTTGTAAGTCTTAACTACATGGTTAGCTCATTTTGTATGCATTATTAAACTAAAGTTATACATGAAGTTATTAAATATTTATGAGTTATTTTGTACATTAATATACAAATAAATTTATATAATTGCCCATTAATACATTATATTTATTTTTAAGTTTTGATAATTATTTTAAATTTTAAAATAAATAACTTATAAAGAAAATTATTAATTAAAAAGTTTAAAATCAATTATAAGTGAATCTAGTGTAATAGCCTTATTTTTACAAGTTAATCAAACATTTTAATAAAGGGGCTTGATTGCAAGAATTAGAGATTTTAGGTTAAATTTGTAAATTTTGAAGGATATTATTAAATGATTTAAGCAATTTGAAGGTCTAAGTGAGAAATCAAGAAGTTAGGGGTTTGAATTTAAACTTTCGGTGGTCAATTTGAAGGGAAATAAAAAAGCGAGATTAAAATAAAACGACATAGAAGATCAAGGACCAAAATCAAAGCAAGACGGGGTGATATGGAATAAATAGAAATTTAGGGGGCTGAATTTAGAAAATCAAAAAACTTCTAGTCAATAACCGATTGGAAGATCTGGATGATTCAAACCTAATCGGTAACCAACTCTTAGATTAATATACATAAAGAGATGTGTGCATGTATGTTGTATACATTTTCCCTCAACCAATATCAACTTTCAAAGTTCTTGTGGCTTGAATTTCTTCAAATAAGTCTAGTAGAGCCATGACAAGTCAAACAGGAAATCACCAAATTTGATCCTAAAATCTATAAAAACATGTTGCAATAATCGATTCTTAAGCATTGATTTTTCAACCCTTAGCCAGTAATTGATTCAAGTAAGCTCTATTTTGAGTTTAATTTTTATTTTTGGCAAGTCGAGTCAAAATTGCAAGGGTTTGGGTTGTTATAGGTTTCGGGTAAAGAAGAAAACCTAGATAGAATGTTGGTCTGTGCTGGTCCGACTAGGCCGGCTTAATGCCATTAGATAAACTCAATCGGTTCAAGGGTTGATTTGATTGGGATAAAGGGGATTAGACCAATTCTAGGTTTTTCAAATTCAGTTCCATTAGATTGAACCAGTTCTAAGAGTTAGACTAAGCAGTTCAACTTTGGGATTGATGATTTTGTGACTAAACCCACCCAATTCTAGGATACAAAGGCCAGTTCAGGAGCTTTGTGACTGGTTCAGGCCATTTCAATGAGGTTTAAGGTCGGTTCAGTTTGGTTCTAAAGAGCCTTGACCTGGTTCAATTTGGTTCTAGGGGATTTTGATTTGATTCAGTCAAATTTTGAAAGGTTTTGGTCTGATTCAATCTGATTCTATATAATTTTGGCTTGGTTCTGAAGGGTTCTAGTCCCGTTCAATTCGATTTTGGAGGATTATGGTCTGGTTCTGGAGAATTATGGTCTAGTTGAGTTCACAGTTCATAGGTGTGTAAGGCTGGTTCAGCCTGGTTCTATGACATTTGAGACTGGTTCAGCCTAATTCAAAAGTATCTAGGGTCGATTTAGGCTGATTCATGGACATTTAATGATTGGCTCACTTCAGTGTAAGAATTTTTACACGAGATTAGCTCATGTTTGGGTTTATTTTAGGTTCGGTTTTAAATAATGAGCCTCAAGATATGTGCCAAGTTTTTAGAGTGGAGTTGAAGACTAGATTAGGGAACTGAGTCTTTAAGTAGTTTGAGTTTTGGTTCTAGTTTTGACGTTATATCACTGTAGTTATAAATACTCCCGATAAGACATATTTCGATAGTTGAAATTATTCAGAGATTTTGGTTTCAGCTTGCTTCATACTGTGAGTGATAACACTTACTTCATACATGTGTTTTGATTTTAATCATTATTTATCTGTTATTATAAGTGTTATTAGTTTTGGAAATTAAACCATGGGACAGGTATTTGATTTTTCTAAAATCTTAAATGAGCTTTTCTTTATATACTTGATTTAGATCAAAAGTTATACCTCTATTATATACATATGTATTTCTTAAAAATCATATGCTGGGAGTTACTCTAGTTTTAGTTTTGGACAAACACAATTGTGTTTTAGCATTACATGCTTGAAATATGCTCCAGTTCTAATTATGGCTCTAGTTCAGTACAAAATCCTGATATGTGTTATGTGATATGTGACATGTGATACCTCCAATATAATACGTTCTATTGTGAAATGAGATTCTAGTACTCTGATACTCCCATGTATTTTCGAAATTGTGAGATACATATGTGTGTGGTTTTGAATGGTATGTACTCATGCTCACTGCCTTTTTATTTATATATGTTTGGCTCATTTTACGAAGCATATCTTAGATGATTAGAGTATGTATTATCGTTTACTGAGTTTCGTACTTATCCATTTTTCAACATTTTTCAGATCGTAATGTAGGCTCGTATTTCTAACTGCTTTTCCAAGGGAGTACGTGAATTTCAGTAAACCTACTTCAAATGTATAGAGTTTTGTTGCTTATATCACTTATATTTTAAAATCGTTCAACTTACTTTTTAGAAAAGGTTATTCTGATTGTATAAATTTTGATATTTATATTAAATTATGCATTATATATGTTGTTCTGTCTAAAACTTGCTGGAGTTAGTAATCAATTCTTAGTGCTAGTCACGTACATGATATTGAGATGTGACATCTAGAGATTAAAATCAATAGAATCAAAATTGAGTTCAGTAAAACTTCAGCCTAGGTCAACTAAAATTAAACCTACATTCCAGTTAATATTTGCCCAAAATTAAATAATTTAAAATTACATTAAATAAACATGACCCAACTCACCTCATTTACAAGGAGATTTAAGCAAGCTTAGGGTTCGAAGGTGTGAAATTAAGTTAATTTAACAATTAAAATAAAAAACAAATATAAAGTTAAAAATTTTATTTATATGAAAATGTTGGCAAATTGAAACATAAATAAATGAAAAGAATTGGAAAATATTCCTATCAGTTTATTTGTTAGTTATGCTATATTTGGAAACATTTTTTTCCAAGGAGCCTTTTGCTATTTAAAAAAATATTATATATTAGATAAATGTTTTCATGATTCATGTTTTTTGTTTTATATGTTATTTTCTTGTATTTCATTTACCAGAGCATGCTTCTTAATCGTAGCACAAATGTAATTAAGATGGAGATAAATTAAATTAAATAGTATTTTGCATTCTAAGCAAATAAAGGTTGGTCGAGTTTGGCCAGAAAGCAAGAGTAAGTGGATTAAATTTTTACTATTTTTGTTTGGATAGTAATTTAGTAATATGTGAAAAATGAATGATTTGATTATTTAACTTTGTTAATTCACACATTCAAAAATTTAATAAAAATAAAAATTACAAATTTTTACTGACTTTTCTTGACATTTTACAAGCCCGTGTAAGAATGGTTACATTTGGATTAGAGAGGGTAATAATTTGGAAAAATAATAAAGCTGGACAACTTGGTGAAATTTATAATTCATATGGTGAAAATGTAAAACATTTTTCTTTGAGATAAAAAAAAATTGTTAGTTAAAAATATTTATATTTTCAAAATACCTCTATTGTTACAACACTTATAATTATAAATATTTGCAATCACAAATATGAATCTGTATAATTATAATTATATATCTGTGTAATTATTTCAGAATTCTTTATTATATAGATACAAGTTTAAAATTACACAAATTTATACTTATAATTACAAAATTTATATTTATAAGAGTTAATATAATATGGGTATTTTAAGAATATAAATGTTCTTAATTGATTTTTTTTTTCTTTTTGATATCAAATGAAAGTACTTTACATTTTGACCATCCAAATAATTATAATTACCAAATCATTGTGATAAGTAATTTTCCCTAATAAATTTGAAATTAGCAAGAAGGGATTTGAAAGACTTGGATTATGTAACGGATGTTTGGGAATAAGTTATCTTCTCTTTTGCTTATTCTTTATGTTATTGAAATTACTCTTCTAAACATAACAGTCAATTTGAATAATCTCATTTACCAAACTTTTATTCATTATTATTTAGATAAAAATGAAATAATTCACTTTTTTAAATAAAAGTTCAATTAAAATGACAAAATATGTATAAGATTTATTTAAAGAGATAACAGATTTATAATAATTTGAAGAGCAAAGGAATAAAATTCATGTCATAAAGATGCCATGAAATATCTTTACCAGGGATGAAGTGATTTTGAAACATGAGAATTTTTATCATACAAAAAAAGGAAAAATTAATCATGAAAGGACTAAAACCTAAGGGTGTAGTTTGGTTGGTCCACTTTCTATTTTTATTTTCAGTAAAAATAGAAAACATAATTGAAAACATGTTTGGTGTCCCATTTTCATCTTCA